GAAAACTGTTGGCAGTCTACTCTTGAGGGTTTTTTCTGCCCATAGTTAAGCAAAACCCACCGCCTGGCAGTCTACCACGCTGCCGTTCCTGCCCTTGGATAGTTGCTGCAAATAATATTGGCCGACGTTTCAAGTGCGGGAAGTAAGGCTTGGCAGATTGAACTGGAGAGGATGAGCAAACATTCAATCACTGGCGTCCAACTTTAGAATAAGATTTAACGGGGTGGCATGATGATGAAAGGTAGCGAGCAACTACGATTAGGCGCCACTGTTGTGCCTTACCCGCCAACGTGATTCGAGATAGACACTGAGAGCATGAGCTTGGCTCTATGGAGTTATGAAAGTTCCGCGAGGCAGAAGCTGCTGACTGATTACACGTTCTGAGGCAACTGCTTTTCAGACTTTGCATTTAAGCCTTGAGAAGCGAACCTTTCGTGGAAAAATGAAAAATGAAAAACAGATCAATATTATGCGAAGTACTGGCCCTTAACAGAGCGTTGAGCATAAACTTTTGAAAAGAGATCTTGATATACTGGAGGCCTGATGGCAATATGTTTTGTCGGAGAGCTTTCAAGCTGAACAAACTGTCCTACGATGATTATTGTGTTGTGTTCTGTAATTTGATCGGTCGGCAAATTCAGGATTGGAATAATTGACAACAAATCTTCAAGCCGTGGTGTATCTATCGATTGTTTCTCGTGGATTCTATCGGCTTCAGGATTCAGATTATATCAATGACATTCTTTGCGTCTGTGTTCTTGTTAGGGCGCGCCCCTGCGGTCGGCGCTTCCCAACAGTACGCTACTATATATACCGGTCCCAGGCCTGACAAGACTAGTTCATATTAGGTTTTTTGGCCGACCTGTCCGGTTCTCTATATGCCTGGGTATGGGGTTCTCACAGTTCTAAAACTTTAGAAGATACTTAGGAAGCAGATAATGAACCGGACTGTAGACTTTAATATGTGTTGAGATGGATGTTTGCCCCAACCCTCGCTTGTAGATAAAGACCCTACTTCCATAGGCCTTCTCCCCTCTTCTCTCTCTCTCTCCCCAGAGAGAGTCACTTCATTCGGTTCTTTCTATCGCTGTGCTCTCTCAACAATATGTGCTCATATGAAGATATACAGGCTATACCACAGCGGACTTTTAGCCATGATCGACCGCAGAGTGGCTCTTATTCCAAAATAATCTGCAAGCAATGGACGGATCAAGAGAAAAGTGTCAAAAGCTTACAGTCGAGATTTGATTAGATGGACGAGAAATAGAATTGCCCAATGAAGCAATGCTGAAGCAAGAAAAGCTAGCAAAATTACTGGTTGCTTTGTGAAAATTTGATGCAGTACGAAATATAAGCAGTCGCTAATCGACAGTGAGCGGCAAATTTCCGGGAAGGTTTTTAACGAAGAGGTTAGAGGGCGTCGCAGCGCATCGGCTGAATGACACCACAGGTATGACGTTTATTGACAGTGCTCTGAATATACCGAATACAATAGCCGAGAAAAAATATAAACGTCAAATTGCTGCTATTGATGCAGCTACTATTGTATTTGATGCGGAAGAGAATAAACCTCCACTGCCTCGTGCCTCGCACAAACACACCGCCGATGCTGCGGAGATGCCAAATGCTGTCCCTCTGCCTAATGAATCAGTAGGTCTTCATCAAATACTTTATCATGTCGATAGGCCTCATATTCTATGGAGCAAGTCCCCTCGGAAGTTAGCACATGTCACATAGAGAAAAAGCGCGGTCTACGATCAAAGGTACTAGTCCTCACTGTTGTGGTTCGGTCTACAGGGATGAAGGGAGACCTACGAAACTGTCATGGAGGCATTTGGGAAATAATACCTACGTGCTTGCATTGTTGATGTCATTATCCACTCTGTCTTTCTTTGGACAGGAAAAATACTAGATGCATCCAGTGCAGTATGCAGATCGGCCTCCAAATGTTGGCAGATCGGGGATGGAGCTTCCAAGTATTGATCGACGGGGAGAATATCTATAGATATTGACATGGATTTTACGAGCCACTGAAAATCCCACAGTTATTATTGAAACAAGGGGTGTTTACTGACGCTATATACACAGCGAGAAGATCATATTCATTCAGAATCAACTTTGTTCTTTGTAAAGATGATGCGGGAATTAATTCCGATGGTGGCTTTGATTCCTGCCCGCACCTCATGCACAAGCTGTCCATTAGTGCAGCTATTGGTACTTTGGCACCACGGCTGTGGGTCAGTGGCAAGTCTAGACCAATGGAACAATGGCAGTACTGTCATTTCGCAGTATATTTAAACTTTCGATTGGCCACGGGCCCAGCGTTGAGGTAACACAACAGCACTAGAGAAGAAACCAATATAGTATGAGATCTTCATCTCAGATGATCCTTGTACGAGTAGCCCTGGTATACTTAGTATATTGCTTTTTTTACGACACCGTCAAGCCCCTCATAAATCCCCTCATTTCACCTTCCCACTCTCACTTCCCACTTTCTCATCTCAGTCTGTCCAGAGCCCATCAAATTACCACAGGGTTAAGTAACGTGCTGCTGACATAATGCTGGGATCTAGTACTGCAGATCACGTCACAGGGCTCACATATCTGTTGCTCGTGACTATTTTCACTTGGTATTTGATATGGTATCTGGTCTCCCCTTTACGCCGGTTTCCAGGACCATTCGTCGCCGGTAAGCGAATTTCATTATTAGATAGCCCGAACAAGCTCTTAACAGGCTATTTCGTGTTCATCGCTAACATACGTTTAGGATGGACGAACCTTTGGCGAATGTTTCAGGTGCGACAGGGGAAATATCAGCTCGTGATCGAAGACCTGCACAAAAAGTACGGTCCAGTGGTCCGAATCGCGCCGAACGTTTTAGACCTGGATTTTCCAGAACTGATCAAAACAATCTATAACGCCAAAGAAGATTACCTCAAGGTCAGTTCAATTATTCCTCAATCCCGAGTTCTACTAACACTTGGTAATAGACAGAATTCTATCATGGTAGTAGTGCCAAAAGCAATGGAAAAATCATCTATAATCTATTCAGCGAATGTACTCCGGAGATCCATGCTAAGCAGAAGCGACCGATCTCCACGCACTATTCCCTTAAGGGAATACTATCGCTTGAGTCCCATATAGATGTGATGATTCAGTATTTCTGTGAACGATTGGAAGAAGAGTTTATCGATGCACCAAACGACACCCAAATATGTGACATTGGAGAATGGATTTCATTTTGTAAGTGAATGCACCTCTCTTGTTCAAAAAACAAAATAATTCAGACTGATTTGGAGCAGATACCTGGGACGTTGTTGGCCAGGTTTTATTCAGTCAGCCTATAGGATATCTCGAACAGGGCTGCGATTTTAATCACAGCATACGGAATGCAGATACTGCGATGGACTACTTTTCATTGGTAGGACAAATGCCAATACTCGACCACCTACTTGACAAAAATCCTATTTACCGGCTTGGGCCGCCCTCTTTCGGCCCCATTACGAACATCTCGATCCAGCATCTAGTAGACCGGCTTCAGAACAAAAACAACGAATATCATGACCCTAGCAATCCTGACTTCCTTGACAAGTTCATCGAAACGAAAGAGAAATATCCAGCCGTGGTCGATGATACGCAAATTGTGTCTTACTTGATGTTCAACATGATTGCTGGAGCGGACACAACGGGCATCACGCTCAACGCAGCGCTTTACTTCTCTTTGAAGCATCCACAGGTCTGGGAACGCCTACGATCTGAGATCCCATCAGAAAGCTCTAATTCGACACCAGCAGTGGTGTCTTACAAAGATACAAGAGGGTACCTATATTTGAATGCCATTGTTCGGGAGGCACTGAGGTGTCATCCCGCTGTTGCAATGCTTCTGGAGCGCTATGTTCCCGAAGGAGGACTTGACCTTCCCAACGGACTCCATGTTCCGACTGGCTGTGTGGTGGGGATGAACCCTTATGTGGTCGCGCGCAATAAGTCTGTGTGGGGCGAAGATGCCGACGTGTTTCGGCCGGAGCGTTGGCTACGCAATGAGAAACTCGAAACCGAGGAAGAATTCGAGAAACGCCTCCGTCTCATGAACAATACCGACCTGTCATTTGGGGGTGGAAGTCGTATCTGTATTGGCAAACACCTGGGTCTTCTTGAAGTGTACAAAGTGCTTGCGACTCTCGTATCCCGCTATGATATTCGTTTGGTTGATCCGAAGAGAGATTGGGAGACACAAAACAGCTTTTTTGTTCGACAGAGTGGTATTAAAGTGAGACTATCCCGTCGGGAATGATGGAGTGTGCTCATAGATGTTCGGGGAGGAGTTCCATCACGATGAACTTCGAAATCATCTACGACAAGCCGATATAGCCCACTCAATTTGGTGTTTTTGACAATACATGTTTTTTTGCCTCTCACTTTTCCACACCAGGGGTCGATTCTAATTTGAAAAATGGCCCACAAAAAAATTGGTCGTATGTTTCAGTACCACATTTCCGAGTTCGAACTTCTGAATTGGAGTTGGCAAATTGAAACAACCTCAATGGGCTACGGGAATTTCAGTATCTCCCATATGAAGGTTGTATCCCAGAGGACCTCCGGCGACTCTCTTAGCTAGTTCATCAGCAGAACATCAGCGGCCCCGGGTCGAAGGCTTGTACGTAAATGTGGTGCAAGCCAATCGTAGTTCCTCAGCTCCAGTTTTTTTCTGCAGAGGCAAATTTCCCATGTGCTGCCGCAACATAGTTTGGTTAGTAGTCTCTTAATTGGATAAGTATCAGCCCAAGCGAGCGTGAGGAGAAACGCTGACTGCCTCTCCGCTAACCCAAGCTCACGGACTCCAGTGGCCAAAGGGGCGAAGTCTGTCGCTAGAGACAAGGCAAAAGCTATCGAAGTGGCTCAAGTGCAAGAGATCTATCGCGTGTATTATCTTGCCCAGGTCAGTTACGGTTTGACCGTAAGTATAGGGGCCGTCTGCTACGACACCCCTCTGTACAACGCTAAGCCTAATCGGGAGGCGGTCAACCAGAAAAAACTACTGTCCCGAAGGTTACAATACCGAGTCAGGTCAATACACAGGATACTTTGCTTTACTATGTAAACCCCATACAAACCTAGGTCACCCCTGTAATTTTGCGATATCATCTCCCATCTTACCTAGACACCCACCAACCCTGCACCTCTGAGCTCTCTCCCCATCTTCAATACCCTAATTTTCTTCACTTTGTATGCAGATTTGACCACTTTCTATGCAAATTTGACCCCTTTTCTGCATGGTTTTACCTGAATTTGACACCTATCTCGCCCAATATGTCGAATTTAGGGCTTGAATACCTGATGGAGTCAGATTCCGACGATGAAGACGTCATGCCGCACTCTCAACCAATCAACATCGCAGGATCTTCGCTGCCGGAACCCTCGGTGGAACCCTCGCTGCCCGCGCCCTCGCTGCCCGCGCCCTCGCTGCCCACGCCCTCGCTGCCGGAACCCTCGGTGGAACCCTCGCTGCCGCTGCAGTCGCCTCGATCTATGGTTATTACCTTCACGCTTCCTGACCTTGATCAAGAATATCAAACACCTGAAGATGGAATCGAAGCAGTGAATAAAATTGGAAGGGAAGAAGGATTCGCAGTCGCAATCCTTCGTTCAAAGTCCGTCAAAGGTGTCAAAAATACGGTCTATCTTTGCTGTGATCGAGGGCGTACCTACAAACGTAGAAGTCACCAGGGCGACGATGATACTGCTAGCCCACCCCGAAAGCGGCAGGCAACTACACTTTCAATCGAATGCCTTTTTGATCTTGTGCTCCGATGCGATAGATCAATTGATCTTTGGAAGTTGACTGTACGAAATGAAACGCATAATCATCTGCCCTCAAATGCTTCAACGCATGCTATTCATCGTATCTATGAACGCATACAGAAAAGGGAATCCATCAAGTATGCATTTGACCAAGGCCAAAAAGCACGTCATATCTTGAATAGCATTTACTTCGATGATTCAGAGACCTGCCTTACAGCAAAAGATCTATACAATCTGCGCGCCAAACTCAATATCGAATTTCTTGCAGGCCGTACACCACTCCAAGCGCTACTGATGGAACTTCCAAAGGATGGCGAATGGATCTTCAAACACGAAGTTGATGATAATAATTGCGTCACTACGCTCTTTTGTATGTACAAAACCAGTATCGCAATGCTTCAAAGAGATTCCTGGGTGCTTTCGATGGACTGTACGTACAAAACCAATCGATATGGACTTCCACTACTTGATATCGTTGGCTTTGCTTCTACCGGTCAATATTATTATGTTGGATTTGCATTCATCAAAGCTGAGAAGTATGATGATTACAAGGTCGTTATGGAATGTGTTTTAGAAGCTTATGAAGCCCTGAACCTTGATCCTCCAGCAACGATTCTCACTGACAAAGAGAAAGTTCTTTACAATGCAATTGAAGATGTTTTCCCTAATACAAAGTATATGATATGCATTTGGCATATTTAGCAAAACATTATGAAGGAAGCTAAGCCTTTTATTGCTGCTCAAATTGCTCGAATTCGTTATGAAGCTATCGGAGATCGAGTATTGACTACTGAGGAGAGCAAAGAGGATCGTTAAAAACGTGACGAAGGTTGGAAGCATATGCTTCGTCGATGGAATTGTGTAGTCTATGCGAATACTATCCCTGACTATGAACGAACTTGGTCATGGTTTAAAACGCAGTATTCGGATCCTTTATTTGACTCATTGATCGCATACATACAGTGTGAATGGCTTGATGATTGTTCAGAGCGATTCCTACATTGCTACACTGGAAGACTTTTGCATCTTATGCTACGATCGACATCTTCCACTGAGAGTGCGTATTGGTTGTTGAAACAAGATCTTGGAGTATCAACTAATGATCTTTCGGCGGTGCTACAATGCTTCGAACGCGCAGTGAAGCTTCAATCCCAAAAGATCAAGGATGAGATTAGTCAATAAAAAATCAGAACGCCAACAGAGAATGTATTATTGTACAGAGATCTTGTTCGACGAGTATCAAAATGTGCAATTAAGCATGCAAAGGAGCTATTTGCTCGATATCTTCCACCGGCAGACGATAAACCAGCGATTCCATTGATTTGCGATTGCAATTCAAAAGCAACCACTGGAATTCCGTGCATTCATATCATGCAGCAATACCAAAGCGAAGGAAGAAGTCTAGATCCGACTTTATTCCATGAGCATTGGCATCTCATTAACGTGAATGCTATACCGATTAACCCGATATTGCTGCTACAGAATCCTCTCTACGTACGCCAGCGAGGTCGCCCTCGAGGTGCTGGAAACCTAACTACCAATACGCAAGCACAGCAAACGCATGATAACTCAGTTCATCGAAATCCATCCTCTTGGGAAGAAGCTACAACGTCAGGTCGACCCCGGAAGCCTACTAGACGCGCAAAGTCCGCCAGCAAAAAAGCAGTACGTGGAGCAGCTCAATGTGACTCATCTTCTTCCGACCCGATATCTCAGCAAACGATGACAACGGAGAAAGCAGCGGGGAGAGCTACGGCGGGGAGAGCTACGGCGGAGAGAGCAGCAGCTACAGCAAAGAGAGCAGCTAAAACAGCAGCAGCGACGACGGCGACGATTGCTGCTACTGGTTGAGTAACGCGAAGTGTAGGTTTAGCAGAGATGTCGGAGGATATTGGATACGTCGGAGGATGTGGATGCGTCGGAGGATGTGGATGCATGAAGCTGGTGAGGTGAGGAGGCAGCGCCGGTGAGGTGCATGTACGATTGCATAGTCCGGAACAGGAAGCAGATGTCAGTTTGTAACCCCTGTAGTATTATACTACTTACTATGAGGATCCGAATGGTGTATTTTATGCAGTATGTAAAATTCGGTCATGAGACGTTTCTGCCAGTAAAATAAATTTACTGCCGGTGTTTCTGGTTGACCGCCTCCCGATTAGGCTTAGCGTTGTACAGAGGGGTGTCGTAGCAGACTAATGGGGTGTCGCAGCAGACGGCCCCTAAGTATATGCAAACTGCTGGATCGGCTGGATTGAATGATCGAGAAACTCATAGCTCGCCTTTCATCCTGGGATCTTTCTTCCCATGGGACCCTTGCAAGGTTTACAGTCAGGCTGACTGCTAGGCGGTATAGATATCTTCACTATGGGCAGAATTCGCCCCACCATCTTCACTGCTCTCAGACCCTGCGCAAGGTATCCTGTCGTACAATCTTTCTCAAATTTGCAGAACTTCTATTTGAGTATCCCGTCCATATGCACTCCGTAGCCGGAATTTCAAAGCAAACGGTCTACTCTAGCTATTGAACAAGTTGACTGGAATTTGCTCCAAACCTCAAAAACATTTTGATGGGGTGCGACCGAAGATCCTACATGTTCGTCCAGTCCAGCACTTTATAAATTATGTAGTTTCAACCAGTATTAATTCCGTGGATAGATGGGATATTTCTGTAACTTGCACCGGATAGCTCGGGCACCTCGAGGCCAGTAGACGGGAAAGGATTGGGCGTTGGTCGCTTTCCCGCTAAGTGGGTCGCTTGGAGGACTGGGCCCTGTTTCGTTCTAGGCGTACTTAGCCATTCGCCCTAGCCAAGATTTTCGGCGTCTCGGTTTAGAGTGCTGGTTTGAAAGTGCCCACCTCTCCTGGGACATACAGAAAAATATGGAGACACCATCTCACTGCCCGGCATTCCTCGTGAAATCAAACTTCACGCAACCGATGTGTCTCGCGATGAGATCGAAGAACAGGTGAAAGGGTGGCTACTTTTTGTCCGAGAAAGCTGGGTTCCACGATCAAACGGCCTTGATGGAGGAGAAGAATACGAATTGCGCCAACGCCGCGCCTTGGTGCAACAATGGGCTTCTACTTGTCAAGAATTCCGTGATATATTGCTCTCCGTACTATCTTGAATATTCCATAATTAATTTTACACCAGTCATATCACAATCGTGCTGTAAGCGAGGGAAATAAGTTTCCTTATCCCTGCGAGGCACTAGAGCCGGTTTATGCATTCTAAAGTTCCTACCTTGTGCGCCGAACATGCAATCTGTCTACAGGTGTGGCACCTGTTGAAGATCTTTTAAACAAAGCCCGATGGGTTAAGCTCGCGATTCTCTTTCATCATTACGATTACGAAGCAGGACATTGCCTGCCTATCATGAACCCTATGCCCAATATGGCTGTTCCCAACCCTGCCACTCCCAAGACCCACTCTGTGCACGATTTCCTCCCGTAGCACTATCTTGAGAGTGCTTGTTTTGGCGATATCTACCTTCCTAAGACGGGGATTGTTCTCTATGACGAAAATACGAGGCATTTCACGACAGTGGGCGAGGAAGGGTTAAAAACCGCCCATTTGACGCTGGTTGAATTTGATTTAAACGGAGATATCAGGCACTCAACCCTGATTCGTCCATTCAATATGTTTTCTCTTTCCTTAGAACTTTTCGTCAATACTTAATTAGACGGATTAGTGTGCTACTTAAGTAGAAGCAAGAAAGCGTTCGGGCGGTCGTGCCAATCAGAATACATCGTGAGTTGTATACCTTCTCGTTCCTCGATATATGCACGGCTAACTCAGATTATATAAACAGATTGGATATTGATCTAGCAATTCTTGATCTTCTAGAATCAGTAGGTGGTATGGCTCCTCCAAGTGTGGACTATCGCAAGCAATGGGAAGGGGATGTCAAATTACATGCACCCGGCTATTTAGCGCTGGAGGCTTTTGCACAGGGGGGAGAATATGATCTCAGGAATCTCACGGCTCCGATTTGTTGAGGCCTACAAGGCGAAAGAAAGAGAGAGAAGACTGACTGATCGATTCTGCTGCGGGAGAGAGAGGGAAGAAGGAGAGAGAGCATCGAGGGCGAGGGTCTATCTACACAGCAAACGAGGGTTGAGACGAACTTCTATCTCAACACGATTGAGATGCCAGATGGCCCAAAAGCAGTGTATCAGTGTATTTTGGAATCTGGCTCTCGTTAACGGACCATTCAGACAGTGCAATAATTCTTTAAGAAATAACAAACATGATATTGTGCTTTGGGCTCCAGAGGTCGCTAGAGATGAGGTGTAGCTTCCATCTATGTAAAGGATATTCAATGGCCATGGCCGATTCGGAGGGGCCCATTAAATTCCCTGAAATCGCCCCTCAGCATTCCAATGCCCTCTCGCTGGACTTCCTCCACTAGGTCTTTTACCTTGGGAGCGATGTCCTCTGGGGCAAATCCAAAGTACTTATAAGTGTCCTCAGAAGGGAGACTCTTTCCAAAGCTGTTCACAGCCACCGATGCATCGGCATAGCGCTCCCATCCGTTAGATGGGTACGCCTCAATCACAATGGTAGGCTTATCAGAGCGTGGCTTTAATACTGACAGCTTGTACTCCCGAGACTGCTGTTCAAATAGCCGAGTACAAGGAAAGGAGAGAACTCGTGCCCGGATACTGTACTTTTTGCTGAGCAATTCTCGGGTCTGCATCGCAAAAACCATTTCAGAGCCCACTCCAATCAATGTGACGTCAAACTCCCCATCATCGCCCTCTGCAAATACATATCCTCCTTTCATTGCACCCTCACGTGAAGAGTTCTGGGGATATTGGGTCAATGCTTGACGGGAGAGCGAGATGACCGTAGGTGTCTCAGTTGCTCGAATAGCAGAGATATAAGCGCCTGCCACTTCTTCTGCATCACATGGACGGATGTAAAGGAGATTAGGCATAGCACGGTAGAGAGCTGCAACGGCAATGGGCTGGTGCGTAGGTCCATTTTCACCAACACCAATGCTGTCATGGGTGGCAATGTGAATTTGCTGGAGACCTTGGAGTGCGGCCATCCGCACGGCGGCCGCGGCATACAAGTGAAAGACAAAGTATGTACTTGTCATAGGGATGAATGTTCCTTTGTTGAATGCGGAAAGCCCGTTGGTGATCGCGCACATGGCATGCTCGCGAATACCGTAGTGAACATACCGACCGCTGTAATCTCCGTCCAGGCCGCATGCAGTTCGAAGATCGGGCTGTTATATTGGTAACTGGACTTTGGAGGAACGGAAGACTAAGGAGGGTGATGTCTGTACTTACAGATTGGAAGTCGACCTTGCTTTTATAAGCAACATTGCACGAAGGAGTCAGATCCGCGGTGCCGACCAAAAACGAGTTAAGATTTCCTGCGAGGGCATTTGTCACTACCCCTGCAGACTTCCGAGATGCTGTAGGTGATGTAGGCTGCTCCTCCTTGCAAGGAATTAGCTTGGACCAGTCGTCCGACATCTTTCCTGCAACACGGAGCGCGAATTCAGCACCCAGCACTGGGTTTTTAATCCGATGTTTGGTCACTACTGCCTCCCAGTTCGCTTCGTGGGTCTTCCCACGACCGGGAATATCACGGAAGAAGTCGTACACATCCCCTGGAATATGGAAGTGCTCGTTTGGGTCGAGTCCAAACGACCTTTTGAGGTTGGCCACTTCGTCAACTCCGAGTGCAGCTCCATGGACTTCGGCTGTACCTGCATTGTGCGCCCCAAATCCAATCACAGTACGAATGTTGAGGAACGTAGGCTTATCACTGGATCGGGCAGCAATTAGGGCGACCGCCACGGCTAATGTGTGTCAGGGGAAGTGTCGGTAATGGACTGGAGGGCATCTGCAACTTACCAGCGACATCGGTGTCTCCATTGTACACGTCTACTACGTTGTAGCCGGTAGCTCGCATCTTCATGTTTATATCTTCCGTATTGGCAACATCTGCTGTCCCGTCACAGGTGACAGAGTTATTGTCAAAGATCACACAAAGGTTATTGAGCTTCCAATGACCGGCCAGTGAGAGCGCTTCCAAGCCGACACCTTCTTGGAGACAGGCGTCACCCACCATGCACCATGTCATATTATTCACCACTTCATGACCGGGCTTGTTGTATGTGGCGGCAAGGTTCTTGCTGGCCATTGCAAGTCCAACGGCATTGGCGAGCCCCTGGCCCAACGGCCCAGTTGTGACCTCCACACCCTCGTTTTCGATCTCAGGGTGACCAGGGCAGAGTGAGTCAAGCCTCGCTGAGTGGTAAGATTTCAGTTGGTCCATTGTCATGCTCTTCACGCCTACGAGATGCATAAACGTGTATTGCCATAGGCAGGCATGACCTTCAAGGATTCAGATTTAGCCTCCATGTCTTGGGCCCTGGAAAATTCTGTGATGAGGCTTACCATTGGAAAGAACAAACCGATCGCGATTGAAATAATCGCAATTTGTCGGAGAATACCTCATGACATACTTGTATAAGGCCACCCCGATGGCAGCCATTCCCATAGGGGACCTGAAGAAGTTGGTCAGTACAATCCCGTGGAGTATAAAGTTCTAAGACGGTGTCCAATTACCCAGCATGACCTTCGCCGAACTGTTGGCATAGGTCAGCGATGAAAACTCGAAAGATATTCATCACACGTTGATGTTTCTCTGTGCTTTCCAATTTCAAATCGTCGCCTGAAGTCGTGCCATCATGGTTCAATGGTAGCGCCTTGGTCGGCAGACTCTTGACGGGCTTCTCGAGGAGTTCTAGTGCAGGTGCCATGATAAAACAAGTATCACTGTTGATGAAACCAAGATGAAAGTTCAAGCGACTCGATTGTGCTGGACAAGCAGTTTTTATACTGATGAGGTCCACGGTTCCATTCAGCAAACCCCACGCTGAACTGAACTGTCATCATCATACTCTGGTGAGTTGTGTGTGCCTTGTTTGAGTCCGTTCGGGATCGAGACGAAACCAAAATCACGTCCGGGCCATAGAATCGGGAGCGCGCTTGCTTTGAAGCCAATGGCCCTCGTCTCGACGGTCCACCGCCACAATTTGCTCCTGATTTCCGAAGCCACGTTATGGCCCGAGGCCTTCGATGGTGATTTTGCCATCCATGGCAGAAAGAGATGTCGCTTCGTGGCATGGAGTTGTAAGCAGCCTGCCCATGACGCTTTGCTTGTACCTGAAAATCCTCTTACTACATGACAGGAAGGCGCTCCTGAAAAGCTGTCTTCCGAAACTGCTTATAGACCTAGACCCGACGTGCAACATCAAATATGCTGGGACTGTGGTTCCCTTGCTCAAAAATGGTTTAGGCGTGGCCAATGGCTTCTCGGCGATTTGCCGAGGTATTCAAGTGGGGGCCATGAGCATTGTCCCTCTTCAAGTGTTGTTTTTGTGAAGGTTGGCTGAGACTGGGGATCCCCACCGTTTGGTGCGACCGCGGGCTAGACTGAAGGGTTCCCCGCATAACCCACAACAAGGAAGTCTGTCCCGCCTCCCTCGGAGCCATCATTGCTCTCGATACGAGACCCGTTCGTGTCTTCTCGCGTAGTGGATGTCCATTCTGTCGGACGAACATTGTGTTTCGATTGCGATGCGAAGTGATCGCCTAGTAAATTCGACGAGCCCCAGACTGGATATTTCTCGCGCGGTTTCGGCTGGAGTTTCTCGGGATTCTCCACAACCTTCTCTGTCAAGTCGATACTCAGGAGAGATTCGAGACATGGAATGTAGGCGGTGAGAGGGGCACTCAATTTCTGCCTGAAACATCGATAAATGCCTGACGATGTCGGTTGGTGCCTGATTTCTCGGTAAAAAGACCATGATACCTGAGTTACCTCTGCACACGCGATAGTAATCACACTCATCTCAAAACTCCACGCTTTTGTCAACTCTTCCCCCATACTTGAACGCTCATCAATTCCCGGTAATAAGAGTGATCTTCACACGACACTAACCGGGTCAAACTATGACCTCAACGCCCAAATCTATCCGAATTGACTTAAGTAGCTTCCGCTATCGTCAAGTGCGGATTACAATATCACCCGAAGCTTAGAGTCTAAGTGACTCAGTAGTCATCCACCCACCGGGGCGTTTTCATATCTCTGTCCGTCTCGCTAGTTCGTCAGCATATCCTCAGCTCTATTGATATCTGAGCTACCCATATCCCGAGGTCGGGTACTGCTGTCCTCGCATGCAGTACATGTTCTCCGGCCCTGCTTTTCACCTGGTCACCACCCGATTGTGGATTGGTGCTGCCAAGCGACCCCTTGGCTGGACTCGATGCGAAGCCTGCAATTCCAAAAGCCAAGGCGGCTCGACCTGCGGAGAGCGGCAAGTGACGCACAGAGTCGTGGGGGTGGAGATGCCGTCTAGAGTCTGGACTGACTATTGCTCAAGTGAACTGACGGCGTAATTCACCCCGGAAAGATCATCAGCTATACGAATCTGGGGTACCACGATAAAACATAAGCCATCGGAGCGCCAATTTCTCCCAACACTACATGTGCACTTTCTTCGACCCTTCAACGCACTATCCCCACAACCCGTCATGAATCCAGCCAATATTGAATGCCAAGCGAGAAAGATCTCTTCTGATCAAATTGAAAATGTCACCGCCATCGATGCAATCTCTTTCACGCCGGAAGAGGAGAAAGCATTACTGAGGAAGGTCGATCTCACTCTTTTGCCCACCATCTGGATCATGTATCTCTTGTCGTACCTAGACCGAACCAAGTGAGTGAAGTCCTGATCGAGGTAGATGTTACAGCACTCGATGAGTAATAACCTTCTATGATTAGTATCGGAAATGCAAAGATCTCTGGGATGGAGGTCGACCTCAACCTGACGTCAAATCAGTATTCAATTGCTCTGGTTGTCTTCTTTGTGGGGTACGTCGTGTTGGAGGTCCCGAGCAAGTATGATTTATCCTATAGTCCACGGTCGTTCTGGGTCTGTGGTTAATAACAATATGTTCACAACAGCCTCCTACTGGGTCGATCCCGACCATCTATATTTCTACCATCTATCATGATTCTATGGGGCGCATTGACATGTGTCATGGCTGTTGTCAAAAGCTTCGCCCATCTGGTGATTTTGAGAACGATCCTTGGATGCATCGAAGCCGGATTTGCCCCTGGTGTCCTGCTACTAATATCTTCGTGGTACAAACAAACCGAACAGTCGAAAAGATTTGGTGTATTCATCTCTGCGGCCGTTCTATCGGGTGCATTTGGGGGGCTAATCGCAGCTGGCATTGTCGATGGCCTTGAGGGAGCCCAGGGCATCCGAGGCTGGCGATGGCTGTTCATCATCGAAGGTGTGATCACTATTGGCTTTGCAATCATCTCGATCTTCATCCTGCCAGACTTTCCGGCAACAACACAACGCCTGTCTGATCGCGAGCGACAGATAGCTGTAGCACGCCTGGCGAGAGACAACGTCACCGCCTCGTCTGAAGGCACCGAGAAACTGAGTAACTGGGGTGCTTGCAAGGTGGCATGTCAGGACTATCGCACCTGGGCTTTTGTTGTTGGGTATATGGTGCGTTGATATTATTTCCTCTTGATTTCACAGTCCAGCCTCCCCGTGACCCTTCACTCAAATGTTGTCTTCAACAACCTTTTCCATTATTATGACTTGATCCGTTCTTCAACGTCTCAAACTGACCAATTTCATTCAGGTAATTGTTGGCTCGAGTACTTTGACATACTTTTACCCAACCCTTGTGGGGGGACTTTTTGGGCACGCGTCCACCAAAAAGATCAATCTATTGACGGTGCCAATCTACGGGGTAGCATTCGTCGCCACTGGAATTACATCCTATTACGGTGACAAATTTCCTTCTTGGCGCGGCCTCATCCTTGCCGGCTGGCTGGCATTTTCTCTTATCTGCTCAATCCTTGTCTGCACAATATATAACTTTACAGCCCGCTATGCGCTCCTTGTTCTTATTGCAGCAGGCCTTTGGTCCACCAATGGAGGTACACTGGCATATGCTTCATCTGCATTTGCCGGTATGCATCCACAGGCGAGGGGTGTGTCTTTAGCCATGGTGAATGCGCTAGGTAACCTGGCACAGATATATGGATCGGTATGTATCCAAAACCCCTTTTAATGAATGGGCCATCAATCTGACGCAAGCTGTTCAGTACCTATTCCCTGAAGATGATAGCCCAAAATATATCATGGGGTTCTCCGTTATATCTGCCATGCTTGCAGTGGGTGTGAGCGTTTTTCTGTTCTTGCAAATATGGCTTCGCCGACCCTTGAAATGTGAGATCACGCGGTGAAGGAAATCTCATTTATTCTCGGCTACATTGTAAATTGTTTAAACAATGTAACTGCCCAGGTGTTCATCCCCAGGTTGTGTGAGTTTCTCGGGTTTTCTGAAGTCTTTGGATGTATTTATGTACCGCAGATTTTATAAGCCTATAATCTTAGAAGAACTTCCAAGGTTTGGAATACCCGTGTCTCTTGAATTTGTGGAAACAACCTTGGGACCTCCTGAAGCCGGGAGTAATCATCCATGGAGGGTGTTATCGGAGTGGTTCGTCCTAGCCCTTGTTCTAAAAGTTTATAGATAGCTCTCCAGCACTCTGTCCTTTCTTCTTCCCTCTTTCTTCTTCCCTCTCTCTTCTCAGTATCTCCGGGCTCCGGAATACAATTTTTTTTCCTTCTTCCCATGCCCAGTAGGCTCCTGAAGTAAATCGTCGCTCCGAAGCCCGACCTATAGGCCATCGTAGAGACAGATCAAGGCCAAAGAGGCCCAATGCCTCTCAGAGCTTACCGAGATAAAGGTGGTCTACGAATGACGTCGAATAGAGCGAGACATAGGAGTTTGAATGAAGAAGTCATTCTAAGATTGGCGTTAGGCGTAGCCTAGTCGGGGCTACTTACTTAACGGTCTCGGCGCCTTCGCTACGATGGCATGGGTCTCGATACGAGGGCTTGAAGGACCCCACGAAACCGGTTGGATCGAACGCTCAATCATATCCTTCGCCGATGATAGACAAATCTGGCCGATGAGTGTGGCCCTGCCAATTTTGGGGCAAAGGGTGCGGGTAAGTCACTCAATGCGAGCGCGACCGCATTTCTCCTAGTCACAGTGCAGTGTAATCCAGCTTGGAAGACAGAATCGACAATTTAAAAGCCAACCCGTATCCCACTCGCAAGTCTCCTGTTTCTACAATCAATTCTGGAAAGAATTTCAAAGACCAAATACCCTTCATCATGCCCCCAAGTATGCTTGACACAATCGGCCTTGCCAACAGCGATAACAGCAACACGAATGCAGAAGACTCGACGAGGGCAAATACGTCCTTCCTAAACACTCAACCAGCATCCGAGCATAACTGGAAAATCACCTTAGAAGGCAAGGTCATCGCTATCACCGGTGCCAACAGGGGCATCGGGCTAGCTCTTGCGGAGGTGTGTTTAGCCAACGATGCAGCAGACATCTTCAGCCTGGATGTGTTTGAACCTGGCGAAGATTTTCTTGCCCTACAAAAGGCACACCCGAAGCGACTGCACTATGTCCATTGCGATGTCACTACAGAGGACAGCGTCAACTCCGCAATCGACGCAGTCATCACTGCACGCGGGGTGATTCACGGCTTCATTGCGAATGCTGGCATGACCAAACACCAACCCGCCTTGGACTTCACACGCACCCAGTTGGACCAACTATTCAATCTCAATGTGTTTGGCGCGTATTTCTGCGCCACGGCCGTTGCCCGTCGATTCATAGATCTGGGAATCAAGGGCTCCATCGTCTTCACGGCTTCTATGACATCCTATCGTCCCAATCGTGCCGCACCGTCTGCCCCATATGGGGCGACGAAGGGCGCGGTACGCAACATGACGCATACAATGGCCATGGAATGGGCGAAGCATGGCATACGTGTGAACTCCATCTCACCGGGATTCATCAAGACTGCCATGACCTACTTCGTGGATCAAGCACCTGACTGGGATCTCAAGATGCAATACTACGGAGGCATGCCTAGACTGGCTGATCCCAAGGAACTTGGTGGAGCCTACGTCTATCTCCTTTCCGATGGCGCCTCTTACACAACCGGCATAGACATCCCGGTCGCCGGTATTGTTGGGGCGTGGTAGGGAATTCGAAGATTTCGAAGCGCCCGTAGACCTCCAAGGATATTTTCGACGACCCTGTGCGAATTCAGAATGAAAAAGGATCATGCAGGAACGCCGTCTTGCTGGTATCTTTCCCACACTTAAGTACTTAAGTAGCACCCCATTGCTGGTACATAATATGTTGAATGCCATCACTTATACACACACTCTCAAGTTATTAGATGAATTTAATCGCTGGTTCTTATCCTATTAACACAAATCCCCAGGTAGCTAGCATGATACCTCCCAAATCTGTTCTAGCCGGGAAAGAACTCTTTTGGTGGGAAATTTGCTGATCCTAAGCATATTATGCAGCAGACGGAGGATTTCGCCGCGCACCTCGGGCGCTCGAACGAATTGGCCAACTTAACCTTTGTCAGTGGGACAAAATCCAAATTGAAAGAAGACAAGGCAGTCGGGGTGACGGTTACCTCCAAATAGAGCTTGCACATTGACAAACGCGTTTGCAGATTCGTATTCTTGGCAGGAATTGGCGATGCCACAGACCATCTTTACGCTTTCAGCAAGTTCTTTTTCGCGATGCATATAGGCATGGAGCCCACCCATTGTCGGTTGGTTAAGCAGAACAATAGATCTGGCAAAGTGGTACATCTGGATTGCACCTGCGTGGGTTGGAGGATGAATCCAGATGGATGGAAACATTCCGTCTGAATCTGAAGAAGGTGTGACCTTGACTGGCTGGTAAGAGCTTGACAATGCTCGCTGCCACTCATCAAGCGTGCGTAGAAGCCGATCCGCCTGGTCGATTCTGTCTTTGAGGTCCTGGTCTGGGGATATTTCGCCAGAGGCATATTTGACGCACTTGCCACAGATATAGACAATTCTCGTCGCAGTTTCATCCGCTGTAAGTAATTCTAAAGGCTTTCGCGCAACCCAGAACGTGATGGTTGGTCTTCCGGCTTGGAAAGCCGCCCAAATGTCCTGTCTAAGCCATGCCCACCAGACAGCCTGCCTTAACCCATCAGGGGACTCGCCATCATTGTCCTGAGATCGCTGGATCCAAAAAGAGCCTTTAAGATGCTGTTCCCATACCCCACTGTTCGGGGCACTATCGGCGTCGAACATCTCATATGTGCTGATCATGGTGGCCGTCGCTAATATCTCATGAGAGTCAGCATAAGCGGGATATAGTAATGTTTGTGACAGGTATTGAAGCGTCTCATAGTAATACTGTGTCGCCATGGACTTGGGAGAAACGTCCGATTCTGAGGGAGGGCTCTTTGATAGAAGTGGGAACGGAATATTCTCATTCGACGCGGAAATGTCACTTGAAACGCCATTTGTTGCTGTTGGATGCGAGCAATCAAGAGACTTGTGTTTTGCCCCAACTGCCAGAATCGACTTTAACAGCCCAACATTCCGTAGTGCGAGATGAGGTACAACATGACTGAAATGCCGACGGGGGTCAAACAAGTCTAAAATGGGCCCAACAACCTCGATGTAATATCGGAAGAACATGAGATCGGTGGTCGATAGGTCTATCCGACCTGGTGTGTTCCAAATGCAAGATAGTTGACGACTATCCAGTGAAGGTGAGTTGACTGAGTGGTCGTGACCATCCACGGGGCCTTGCCGCTGCACGCATTGATTCCCATTCGGTTCGACCTCGGCATCCGGGCACTCGGGGGCCGGGGATTGTCGCCGGGAGAGGATAATTTCGGGGAACTTCCATCTAGGATCACGACCAGAGAGATCGTTCAGCCGGTTTGCATGGCTGATGGCATCCCGCGCCAGCAGGTCGTACCATTCAAAGGGGGAAATATTCAGAAGCGAACCCTGGCCCAGCGAAAGCGGACTAGTAGAGAACGGCGGATCAAGGCTGGATCTAGTTTGCCCAACAGATTCATTGAGTTGTTCACCCAGCGATGTATCAACTGAGACATTCGGTGATATTCGCCCATCGTCAGGGGGTGCCGCAGGGGTGATCTGGACATATGGTCGCGCCCCAATCCTTGGCTGTTGTGTCTGTAATTTTGGCGAATTCCGGGTGGGGATTGAATCACTGAGCCTATTCTCAAAGATGCAGGGCTCCTCGCGTCTCTGATTTGAGTCTAACTCCGCCTCAGTGAGTCGAAATTTGGTCCCATTTCCAGTTGCCAAACGCCGGTCAACCCGCGAATCGGTTTGCCCGGAGTTCTCTGCATATCGACAGGCCCGGTCTGACTTGGAGCACCGCAGACAGGTAGGCTTCCCATCATCGCACTTCACTCGTCTCTCCCTGCAAGTCAAGCTGCCACATATCCAAGGATGTCAGCGAACTTCCTGATCGCTTCGGTGGCCTTCAGGTTCCTACCATCCTGTCTTTGTTCTTAGTCCCCGCGCTCGTGAGGGTCTAATTCGCGGTCGCTTGCCCCCTGTACTACTTCCGGTCGCTGGCCTTTGACGTGTGTTGCTGACGTCCATGATGTGCAGTGGTTTCGTCTCGAGGACCGGGTTCTTAGACAACCTCGCTTACATTTCCCCGCTTTTCCGGGGAAATCCCCACATTCACCATTGTGTTCTCTTGCACCCACAGAATGTTTTGTCCTTGTTGTACTGTAGGAGTCTACTCCGCACATGTTTTTGGAGTGGGCACTCGCATCTACTCTGTACACTTTTGATGAGATTCACTTCTCACATTTCTTGCTTCATGCATTTTAAGCGAAATGAAATTCGGAGACGCCACGATGATTGGTCTGTTCAATGTTGAGTACATCGCTTAGTGGCGACTCACCTGGCTCGCTTGTGAACCACTTCAGTCTATAGTTCCGGTTCCCAGCTTCCACAAATCAACCTTGGAATGGTCCCACAGCGAGACACTTCAATTGGCTGAAGTGACAAATTCACGATATCATGCTGGGCGACGACTAGAGCGTCACCGATCTTGGTAGGATTTAAAGGCAGCCCGCGCCATTTGGTCACTAGCCGACCGTCATATGCTTGCTCTGGGAAGAATCTCGGAAACACGAGACAATGTTGATCTCTCTGAATTATGAGGGCAATAGTAGGCGGGGAGAAGAGCATACATTCACAGCCGCCCGGCGCTCCTCTCGTCCTGAATGTCAGCCTCGACCGAAAAGCCATCAATACGGAGACAACACGAGCAAAGGCCTACCTCAAATGGTTGATACTGTCCCGCGCCTTCGTGCTTCGTCTGACTCCATGATTTCTGTCGAAGAAGCGCTTCGCATTATCAGAGATCACACCCCTGCGCCCGTTGCGACTGATGTGAAAGTTACATCGTCTATCATTGGCTCGATCATTGCCGAGGATGTTCATGCGCCTGCAATGGTACCAGAGTTTCGGTCTAGTGGTGTAGACGGCTATGCGGTCGTTGTGGAAGAAGGCAAGCCCATGAAGAAGCTTTTTCGTACAGGGTACACGACAGGTGGCGGTAGTGGAGGCTTGGCACCCTTGGATCCAGCAGCAATGGCGAAGGTTGCTGCTGGAGAAATTCTTCCTTCCAATGCCAATGCCGTGGTTAGCGTGGAAAATATAACACATCATGGGCGCGAGAAAGAATATGTCGAGATCCTGAGCAACGATTTCGTGGTTGGAAAGAATGTGCGCCAGCCTGGCCACTTTATCACCCTTGGGTCTCGGCTATTCGCCCGCGGAGACCATATTTCAGCGGCAAGTGGAGCAACGGGCTTGCTTGCTCTGGCGGGCATCCGAACCATCAAGGTGTTCAGAAAGCCACGCGTTGGTATACTCAGCATAGCCGACGGAATCGCGACGCATTTCGATCAAAATCCAGACGTGGGCTACCTGGCTTTGGCTTCCGTTTTATCGTCATGGGGCTTTGCAACCGTTGATCTCGCTTTGACTCATAATACGCCTTGTGGGGAGCTCAAGCATGCCCTGCTCTCTAGCGATGTGATCCTGATAATGAACGATGCATCCCCAAGTAGGCTAGACCTGAAGCCCACTATTGACTGTTTGGGTGGGACATGCCACTTTGATTGTGTTTCCTTGAAGCCTGGCAGTGAGACCAGCTTCGCGACAGTCCCCGCAAATGTAGCCGAGCGTTGCCCACCAGGGCAAAGTCCAAAGCTAGTGTTTTCACTCCCGAGTGAAATACAATCAGCGCTTGTCGCCCTTCACGTTTTTGTTCTACCCTCGTTGCACGACCTCAGCGGCCTAGGCAGGGCATCCCATACTGCTGCAGCGAAGCCGTGGATAGCACCGCAGCTAGGGCTGCCCCGTGTCGCCGTCGTTTTGACACATCAATTTCCCCTTGACTTGAAGCGCACCAACTACCACCTTGGGGTGGTGACAGCGTCTCGCTCTGATGCCCGGCTGTATGCCACCAGCGTGAGTGTCGGGCCTGTAGATGTGCGAGGCTCTCGCTCAAACCACGGGGTGGAGGTCAATGCTTTAATCATTCTGCGCGCAGGCCGAGGGGTAGGAATCAAAGGTGAGATCGTGGAGGCCTTGTTGATGGGGCCTATCCCTGGCTCAGACACGCGGCTCATCTGCTAAACTTATTACCTACACCCCGCGTGTAAATCCATCTTTGTTCTTTCTTACACTGACCAGGAGAAATTAAAACGCGAGATTCATACCGCAAATAATCCTGCGTTAAGCCAGAAAGGGCTGCCTTTCCACCCGTAAACATGGAGGTAGAGAAGTATCAAGGGCTGCAAAATCCTTCGGCTCGATTGTGCTAAGGTTAGTCTTGATCGCTTCGGAATGCGGTATTTAAGAATATGGATTTGTCTGCAAAGGCCAGAAAAGCGCGAAATCAATCAAACAGAGAGCGCGTAAATGTGAGAGCGTGTCGCAGGAGAATAGCACTCTTCCGGAATGCCGCAGACGATTTCCCATTCCTGATTCATCGTTGGTTTGGGTCATGTGACGTAGCTCTCCACAACGTGACGGTGACAAATTAGGAAATCACTGGTCACATGATGACATGCTGAGCTACATCACTGTCATGTGATATTTCAAGACACGTGATCTTCGCTCTCTTGTTTTCGGGGGCTCCTCTTATCTTGCTTCGCTTCGCAGTTGTTTACTTTGTTACTGAAAACCACTTGGTAACACTCCAGGGGGGCTCAATTCTCAACAAGACTGACTATGGGATACCCCTGCATCAAGGTCTAGACCAGTTCATCGCTCGAGGGTAGCAGGCAATGAAGCCACGGTGCGGGGACCAAAGGACAGTATATGATGTGATGATATGGGATCAACTCAAGGGGTATACTGCGGTTGTAATCTCTCTCTCACCGGGTGTCAAGTCTATTTTTGTTCCCGGGACGGTACACTCTGCTTCGAAGGGTTGTGTGGATCTAGCAGACCAGCAACGTCAAACATGTCATTGACTCAATTGTATACGGAGTGCCTAATATCGGATCAGCTTGTCCTAGAATTAAACCACCATCGAATTGACCCTCTGCTATGTTTCTTCTTTTGCCCTATTTGGAAAGTGGTTGAACGGAGAAACAGTCCGATCTCGGCGCATGAAATCTCCGGTTAATGCGGGACAACGGGGCTTGTGTAGCGCTCTGCATGTTCGACACAATATTGGGTTCGCCGACCATCTCGATCTTCATATCCTCCAAGCTCTCGTCGCGAAGGATGGGCTGACGTTATACGGCTCGCTGGCCGATGGCACCTTGCTCATTCGGTCGGCTGTTATTCCTTGTGTCCTCAGCCTTATTAAGACACCGTGTGATGCCAAGCTGAAAGAGCTTTGCGCTGAATGGCAACGATTCAGCGATGTCTTAGAGCTCGCCGGGTGGAGGCAAATTAAGTGGCTTTCTCTGCAGAGGGATCCAGGGCTGTGGCTTTAGCGAGCTTACCTGCATAAGTTGACTCCACAGTATCTCTGAGGTTGCAACCTTCGAGGTCCCGAGAGTATGTTTACATGATGGCAAAATTCTCCGATGTGACTATATAAGTGTCGCTCGGTTGGACACTTTCGATATCATTCACCATTCTTCTATTTCAAGGTTTTCATCACAATTCCACGATCGTCAACATGGCCAGCTATCTTATGCTATCAGGCCTTCTCTCTGTTTTGGGTGCTTTCGTTCCAGTACAGGCTGAAGTGCAATCTATCACCCCTCCCGATGGATGTCCGATCCCAACATGGACTGTCAATAACTTCCAGTGGTACAATGGTTCTCACAGCCTAGACTGCATCCACAATGAAGTCGATATCAACACGAAAGGTTGTCTTTGCGGCAGATCATGGTGTGATCCAGATCCTGCCACTTGCAATGGCACCATGGTCAATGTGTGCTGGACTGGAATGCCCAACTACGAGCCATGGGGATACGGCCCCCTAGAGACACTGTCGATCGGTTTCGAGGATGGTCTGACTTGCCATGACCAGTACATCGGATATCGTATCCACGACATCGGAAATGGAGAAAGCAACTGTGGGTACGCAGATCGTGGGGCTGGGCGCATCGTTGCTTTCTATGGGAATTCGAACCTGGAAGCTTCAACTGGCCACATGGATTACACTCTGGGAGATGGACACGCCCTCCAGTGCAACAATGGAAGCAAAATCACCTACTCTGGAAGCACTGACTTCCCCCTGACCTGTACCCACGACTCCTTCTTCAATGCGACCTGCACAGCACCTGTCTTCGAGGTCCCTGTCCTCAGTTACAAGTGGGTATCTTGAGATCGAAATGTCGAATTATTGGCTTTCTAATGTTTTTGGTGTGACGAGTGCCTATCAATCTCTCGTTGGTGCTTAGACACTAGCCAAAACATCCGTTGTACAGAGCACCTATGGTTTTGTTAAAATTTTAGTTCTGGAGATTGCCACAGACAATGAATATATGGGAGATCAATTATTGCCCAGAGGGGTATGGCACATATTCTCTACCCGAGCAGCCCTGGGCCCCTCGGCATAAATATATCCTCTAGAGCTGAAGTCCCTACGTACTTACTAAATTTAAAAGTCTTCTAAAGTTCAAGGCTAATTACCATTCCACGCCTGTACCTCGACGTAAGTACTCAAGTACTTAGTAGACACCTTCCTGCCCAGGCGCGCAACTTCAATGATCGCCCTCTAGAGCTCTGGCTTCCGGGCTCCAGGGGGCTTCAACTTTAGAGCTTCTAATTAAGTAAACGTCCACTGCTTCTAAAGTTGCTTGTGAAGTTGGCAACCCCTCCTGGGTTCAGGAGGTCGTCTCCTAACCTTGGGAGGTGATACCGCTCATGGAGAAGGTGCTGAAGTCTCCTAGGTACAGTGCGTCTGCAGGTCGAATTCATCATTCGCCATCGGAATGCATCAAACTCGATTTATAGATGGATATACAATAGCCATATTGCATTTGTTGAAAGTCTATTGGAACCTTGGGAGAAACAAGCTAATCTATTCTGTCATCCATAAATGTAATCAATGAGGCGAGTCCTCATTTTGTTCAAAGTGCTCCCTGGCCCAGGGACTGCGGAGACGGATTGCTTCGCCCTTGTGGAAGAAAATGAATGGGATGGGCACAAGTAGAATGGAGATGAAGCCCAAGAGACTGGACGCCCATTCATAGTCCAGCTTTTCATACATCTGAGTGGCAAACAAGGGGAATCCAGCCCCGACGACGTTGCGTACGAGAATGACGCCCGCCAACGCCGATGCCGAGTACGTCTGATAGCTGTCCACTACGTAATTCAAGATGCTCAGGATCACAATGTAGATCCCCGCCCCAAAGAATGAGGAGGCAATGATCGGGACGATCCAGTGGACGGATCGATAGCTAGTCCACCCAAACCAGAAGAGACTGATGGGAATAAGGATCGCTCCGACGCGGGCCATCCACATCCGGGCCTCGGGGACTCCTTTTCCGTCATTTTCGGCAACCCGGCGTAGATAATATCGCTCTTGGAGCGGGTAGAAACAAAAGGCGATCAGAGGGCCAATTGCCATGCCCAGGAAGGCCAATCCCTGTTGACCGGTATTGAAGGGGTGACCCTTGGGAGCCCCAAACACCAACGGAATGGCTTCGTTGAACAAGTATACCAGCCCGTATAAGAAACCATTGTAGATCGCGGAGAAGAGGGTGATGGGCTCCGAAAAGAGGAAGCGAAAAGGGCGCGTGAGAGTGATCCCAAATAGTTCATGCAGACCCTTTCGCTCGCTGGCGTGCATGTCGGTGGTTGAGCCGGCCGAGGCCAGGTTTTCCTTCTGCATTTGCCGGCAGGCGCGCTTGGCCTTTTTCTGGAGAACCGTCGTGTGTCGGGTCTCGGGGATGGTGGTCACCAATACCACCCAGACGCCTCCAGTCATCGCCATCAGCACCCAGAAGATCCACCGCCAGCCGAGATTCAGTCCAATATATCCGGTGATCACGAGGGCCATGGGAGGGCCAAAGGTGCTGCTCAGCCCGTAGACAGCCATGGGCCCTCCACTCTCATTGCGCTCCCACAGGTCACTAATGCTGCCTCCCGTGTTGGTGAGGGGAGCCCCTCCGGCACAGCCAGCGATGAATCGACACACCAAGATGGTTCCGATATTAGGCGCCAGCGCCAGCGGCAGCTGGAAGATGAACAAACAGAACCAGGATACCACGTAGATCGGCTGCCGTCCAAAATATTCCGAGAGCGGGGCGAGCAGGACCGGGCCGATGGCGTACCCCAGCACGTACAGGGATAACGCTAGAGTGGTGATTTCTGCCGATACGCCGAACTCCTCTTGGATTCCTGTCGCCCCGGATGAGATTCCACCCGCACACCAGGTTCTGTCTCAAGTTAGCGCCTGCGGTTGAGTGATGGGGAGGGAGAAGTCGCACGTGAACACATTCAACATGCTCACCACAATGGTGATATACCATTTCCGCCATTTGGGCCAATTGCGTGGGTTATCTCCATCATTGGGGCCATAGGTGATGAGAATTGGGAGGGCGTCGTTGGGGCTGCTTCGCGCCTTAGCGAGTGCCTGGTCCTCCGACAGCAGCAAGGGGGAGTTTTCGCGACACGCGTCTGTTCCTTTCTCCACGTCCTGTTGCTCGTCTGCCGGCGCTTTCTCAATCGACATGATGTATATGTATATTCCGTCGGGCAAAGACTAGTAGGGAGCGAAAGCGAATATATCAGGAAAAGGCCGCTGAAAAAAAGAAAAGACAGGACCATCACCAGGTCCAAGCGAGGGATATGACGGGGGTCCTCCACTCGAACCCGATCAAATGCCGCATTCGCCACGGTGAGTGGCTCGGTGTGCCGAAAAGAAGCATTATTGGCAAATGCTTGGCTGGGGGAGAGCTCCACTGTTCTCCATCACACTGAGAATTGGGGGATCTGAGGATTTTCCTTGGAAATTTCTATGAGGCCATAGACCGTTGAAGTGAAATGCGTAGATTAAGTTCTGTATCGCCTTGGAGGATTGGGAGGTCCTTGTAAAATGTGTAGGGAAAACTTGGAGTAGACCTGCACATACATAGACCCTGTTGAAAATATCCCCGTGGAGTCTCCAGAGTCCTCGGTACTTTGTCGGCTAATCTCCAAAACGCTTCTTTTCGTGACATCATTGAAGTCTCTGAATTGGAAAAGACAAGGCGATTTCGAAATATGGTTGTTTTAATGTTTTAATGTTGACGTTTGTGTTCTGTATGGTTAAAGTATCCTGTACTCAAGTGAGGTTATACCTAAGTATTCCCACTTGGTCAAACTATTCAAGTGAAATCATGTCTACAAGTATATTACTCTCTCGAGTTCCTGGATTTTAGATGACTCTGTCTTTAAGTTATATATCTTAATTAAGTATATTCTATATGTACGCGATGGAATATGAGCCCCTACAAACTCAACTCATACCCGTTCTCTGCCAGGTACGTTTTGAACTTGGCATCCTCCGACTCCAGCTCTCGAGACATGTCCGGGATCAAGGTCCACGCAATCACCCCACCCACCAGGGTAAATGTGGCTCCAATCAGAAAAACTGCCTGCTGGCCCTGCACCGGAGAAGCAAAGGAGTTCTGAATAGGAGTAAACACCTCCGTCCCGATCGAGGCCCCAGCCTTCCCCACGGCGGCCGCAAATCCAAGAAAATGTCCCCGCAAGGGGGTGGGGAACGATTCAGAGGCGCAGAGAAACGTCGAGACACCAGGGCCCATCTCCCCGAGAGCTTGGAAAATTCCATACATGACAATGAACAGGGGGAAGACCCCCTGAATCGGTCGGAGCGCGCCGCCCAGGATGAACCCCCAGAGAGCCCAGAGCAGGAAGCCGAATGTCATCGTCTGTTTCCGGCCAATGCGATCCATCAAAAGACCTCCAAGCAAACAGCCGGGAAGATAAAAACAGTTGATGACGGTCTGCAGAACGAGTTGTCAGTTTCACCAGTACCAGCCATCCACCATGAGAACACCCACCCCATATCCATTGTTTTCAACCGCAGTGTTAGTGGGATTCAGCTGCTCAATGATCGTGGAGGAGAACAGCCCGAATGGGTACGTCACAAAATCATAACAGAACCAGGCCATTGCTACCGTCGCCAACTGTGAGCCAAGCCAGCCTAAAAACGAAGTCAAAAGGGACGGAACTTACAAGTCCCAAGCATGGGCTTCCAATATCGCCGCAAAACCAACCAATACGGGTACTGCGACTTGATGGCATGCTTTCGATACTGGGTAGAATTGATCATCCGAACACGAAAGAAACATATCGTCAGAGGTAACTGGGCAATGGGTCAGAGGGTGCTAGATGATGATTTCCAAGAAAGGAGACTTGCCACTATACCCAGTCCGAATGTGATGCGCCAAACCCCCTCCGAGGGTTGCTGGTGGTAACACGCAAGGACGATCAGAGCGACGAGGCCGGCGGCAACAAATCCCTACCACTGGGTGAGCGGTACTCAAGTTTGGGTTGCGCGTCAGTACTAACCAAATCGACGGCAAAATCAGTGGTCACTGCGACCAGGAACCCGCGTCGCTTCCGGAGTTGAGCCGTCTCGTCGGCAGCCTCAGTGGCACTGGTCGCGCAGACAGGATATTCTCCGCCAGCACCAAAGCCAGCAATGCCCCGTGCAACGGTCATCATCCAGAACATTCTTTTTGTTGATTTAGCGACCGATTATCATCATTCACTTGACCTTCTCACTTACCCGAGCTGTGACTTTCCATGAGAGGCAGTCGCCAATACCACCCCAAGGATAAGAAAAGCAGTCGTGGTGACGATACCAGTTCGACGACCTATACGGTCAATCAGAACACCAAAGAATAGCATGCCGAAAATCTCGCCGATGAGATACGAGTTTGACAATCGTGACTTCATGGTCGACGACATCCCATCAATATAACTGGGATTTCGTTAGCCATGGTCTTAGCTTGCTGCTGCTGCAGAATACCAAATACTCACAGCACTGAGAACAACGGCTCCATGTATCCAACTATCATCCCATCAGTATGGTTCCATGGCCACAGGGCCAACGGGGCCAACGGGGCCAATTTGACCATGCATGTCCAACTCACTAATTTGAGCATTGTATCCATCACTGAACAAAGCCAACCCGGAAACCACTACGTTGAGAACACCAGAGCGTTTCTTCTCCGGTTCATGTTGTTCAAAATTCAAATCCGACTGAGAGAGCTGTTTTTCTGACTCCTCCATCCTGACCCCGACCTTGCTAGACGGTATTGGTGATGCCATGCTCACTGGGACGCTGGAATACTCTAGTATAAACCGCCCTATTCGAACCTTCCGACATACGTGGAGTACTTACTGAATATATATACATTCATCATTTGAGCGGACTGGGCCGCGAACTTATTGAGATTGAGCCAATGGTACCAGGAGGTTGAGGCACGAGAGAATTTCGGTAGGAAGTGCGAGATCTTCGCGTCAGACTATGTCGTATTACCGCGATGCACAGACAGCCCTGCACAGGCACAGAACTGCCACCTTCCCTGGCGCCGTCTTGGAGGCCCACATATTCTGGTCGCTGAACCAATCGGAACTCATTTCTACCCCATGTGCCCAGCATTCGCGTGCAGACCACGACTTCAGGAACTATACTCGTATATGGAGTACTACATGGCTTAAAAAGGAAATTTCAGTGGCACAACAGCCGCCATCTGTCTCGGTGCGAAGAGCGCAATCTATGAATCTGTATACAATGGATACATGCCTTGGATATAAAAACCCGGCCGGTGTCTCAGTTCCAAGGTTTACTTCCTCACCCCTTTGAATTGCAAATCTACATCCTCTCCCAATAATGGACGATTCGTGTTTTAAACTCTCGACAGAGCAGCTGCAGAGCTTCCAGGATCGAGGTTACCTAATGGTCCGGGGGTTCTTCACCCCCAAAGAGTTGGCACAGTTGCAGCAATGGGCATCAGAGGTCCATGATTTTCCATGTACCCCTGATGTTCCTTGGATGCCATATCAGGAAGTAAATTCATGGGGTCAACGTGTGCTCTGCCGCACGGAGAATTTTGCCAACTCGCATTCTGGACTCAATGGTTTCCTCCGAGGGAAACGCGCGGCAAGCCTACTACATCAGCTAGCAGGCGAAGAGATGATCCTTTTCAAGGAGAAGATCAACTACAAGCTAGCAGGGAGTGGTAAGCGAGCTTTACCTTCAATAATCTCTGACTTGATCACTGACACCGGCGGAAAGGTGGTTTCGCCCCTCACATCGACGCCAATGCCTACACTCATGTAAAGAACATCAAGCATTTGATTATTCTTGCCGCAGTCGACGAGATGAGCGCCGCAAATGGGGGTCTTGAAGTGGTTGACGGCAGTCACCAGATCGAAATTCCTCTCGGCGAAGATCGGTGCATTACCTCGGACTGGGTTGAGAGCAATGTATGGACACCCGCGGAACTGGAGTCAGGTAAACGAGTTTAAGCGTTCTAAAAGCCTTTGAGCGAGATTGCTTATCATACATAGGTGACTTGTTGGTCTTTGGTTCGTACCTGGCCCATCGAAGTGGCGCCAATGTCAGCCCAAAGGACCGACGCGCGATCTATGCAACATACAACTGTGTTACCGAAGGAAACTTACACGAGCAGTACTATTCAGACCGTCGCAAGGCTTGGCCTGCAACTCACATGCGGAGAGAGGGTGAGAAATATGAAGAGGGCCGTGTGCGATATGCCTTCGGGTCGCCTATGTTGACTGTGGACTCCAAGATCACCTCCGCGGCTTGAGCTCTGAAGCGTGAAAAATGTTCTGTTTCATAATTAGAAAATCGCGCAATGTTCAATGCTATGTAGTGGAAGATTATAATAAGGAGATCCTATTTAACTAAGATAACCCAATGCCTAATAACTCGGTGGGTAAATTTGGGATCCACGCAAATGCTAAGTACCCATGGACCACCGGGACAATGACCGATGATTATCGGTACAATGAAGAGCAAAAGCCCTTCGAAAGTATATATTTAAGCTAGAAAATGCCAATGGAGTCACAGAGCGGAAGCGAGATTGTCCCATTTAAGTCCTTTCTGTCCTGCTCTTTTCCCCCTCTTCTTTTCCTCACTTATTTACTTTACTCACCGAGACCTTCCTTGTCCCATCAGATATTTCCTCTTTTAACCTCTTTTTCCAAAATCATGGAAACCACTTCACCGAGACAGAAGGCAGAGGGCCTACTCCACGCATTGGAGAAGTACGGCGAAGGCGACTATATCGGAGAGTCAATCAGTCAATTAGAGCACTGTCTGCAGGCGGCTCATCAGGCGTCCAAAGCCGGTAAGTGATGCTCTACATGATCAAACAGTGAACTCACCTGACACCTCGGCAGATGCTCGTGACGAACTGGTCATCGCTGCTTTGTTGCATGATGTTGGACAAATCATCCCTTTGCAATCGACCAGAGAAGCACGTATGACTCTGGGTGGGAGCACGGAGAATGTTGGTCGGGTCGGGCATGAGACCATCGGCGCGTTATACCTGAGGTCTTTGGGATTCAGCGAGACTGTATCACGATTAGTGAACAGTCATGTTTCAGCGAAGCGGTATGTGGCCTTTTCTGTCATTTTGATCGTCTTTGGCTCACTGGGTACCTCCCAGCTATCTCACCGCCACAGATATTGGATACTACAACTCTCTGTCCACTGCCTCGCAGAAGTCATTAGCATTTCAAGGAGGGCCTTTTCAGGGTGATGCTCTCAGAGAGTTTGAAACAGACCCTCTGCGAAAGGAGATGGTCCTCCTTAGGCTGTGGGATGATGCAGCTAAGGTGGAGGGGGTTGAGGCTACAACGCCTCGTGTTCAGGCATATCTCGACATGATCATCAGGCATCTAGAACTTCAAGTCTGAGGCCCAAGTGTGGTCAATACTGCCCAATTTGCTTATTTAATAGGTTGCGTTCAACTTGCTGCATGGATCTGTTTACTCCGTTGGGAATCTCTATCAGTGTTTTCACTCTGTGTGGCCAGCAATGTTGAAGAAAGGATGTTATTGGAGTGATTGAGTAATTGGTAGGCTTTGAATTGATCAGCTTCAATCAATTCAGGCATAATGGCGATGATGGATAATCTCAGCGCATGTCGAAGGTATCACAGCATCTAGCTGGAAGCACACCTGGGAAAATTCCACTCTATGACGGCTCTTGGATATCCTCTTACCCAATACCATGACCGTATTCGCCCATATTGACTCCATGAATGGAACAATCAGCAGGTGTCCAGCATCTCAACCAGAGCAGCCTTCTCTTTTGAAGTTACAGTAAGTTTATAGACGGACTTGACCTTCACCCACATCTTCGCATATGTGCAATGATACGAGGCTATTCGCGGTTAGTCAGAGTTCACCTAACCTCAAACAGGACCAGGGAAATATACCCAGAGGAGGCTTCCAATCTTCTGGGCCTTTGTCCCCCTTCGACGAGTTCACGCTGTCGGTGACGGCAAGAAGCTGGGGATTGGTAAGGTCATTGGCAAAGGCGCGACGATCTGCTGTTGTCCAACTGGCTGCACCTGACTATAGACACGATGTTTAATACTTCGATCACTAGAGTAGTGGTAAGACAGTATACCTTCCATGCATTCGACAAGGGAACAAGATGATCGATATCAACATCACTTGCAGCTGACCAAGTGGCACCGTCGTACGGAGAATACCAGGATCCACTAGTGGCCGCACAACTGGAGCTTTGAACCACGTTGGTTCCATCCCGCGCTAGGATGACCTCCCGTGTGTTGCAGCTTCTAACCTATCATTCAGTCATTCATGCTCCCGGTAATCTCTGTTTACACGCACCCGCTTTGAGTGATCCAGTGCGGAAATAAAGTCCGACTGTATCCATCCTGCGACCCCTGTGCGGCAACCGTCAAGCCTGCAAGCTCACTGGTTGCTGTCGAAGTGGATGGGATTCCAGGTGGTGATGGTGTCGGCAGTGCTCCACTCAGCAGGGGCTGGCTGACTACCAAGAGCCATGCAATTGCAGAGATGCCCATTCTGTGTGCTCAAGCTGGAGTTGAATTGGAAGGGTGAAGAATCTCGAACCCTGAAGAATGCAAGGGTAGCTTCAGAAGCGGAAGCCTTGATTTTTATACCACGTCTTATCATGTTCTGCTGCAATGTGCTCCTGTGCATAGGTGTGCATGTTTAGCTCCAAATGCATTGTAACATCGGGCCCCCGAGTCTTGGCCCGGAGCTTGGCGTTGCACGTTGAGGATTCACTGGCCGCGCCTGCTGAGCAGCGCGGGTGTGACTCGGTTGAAAGATGTCATTCGTTCCTTTTTTTTTTTGGCGATATCAAGGATGATTACTCCATGCAGATGGTTGAAACGAGCGGAATTAAAACGACAAAAACAGGAAATGATCGTCGGGAACAAGATACACCCCCTTTCTGCGGGAATTGAGTGCGATTGGGTCGACTATGACCTTGGAAGGTATGAGGTACATACAGGATAAAACTGAACTCGCTTGAAGGACCACTTATTCTACATGGATCATTGGCGGACTTCAGAGCAATCCTCTGGCAAACTGCAAGGGGACTGATATCCCCACACCCAGCTTCTTGGCTGCAGTGAGTACCCATTCTGGCTCACGGAGGAATTGGCGAGCTAGAAGGACTGCATCCGCTTTGGGCTCCTTGCCCGACAAAATCTCTTCGGTCGCTTTAGCCTCTGCACCTTCGACAATGTCACGGGCAGACTCAGCCTCCGTGATAAACCCAACGGCGCCAACAAGAGTATTTTGGTTCGCAAGATGAATCTCGCGGCGGATTTCACCTGCAAGGTCAATCTGATAGTTTGTATGGGGCTCAATGCGCTGGTCTTTGTGGTTGCCACCTGAGCTGACGTCCAAAAAGTCAATACCTAAACCAGGTAGCAGTTTGGCCAGATGAATGGAGGAACTCATGTCCCAGCTTCCGGTGTGGGCGGCAACTGCCTCATTTTCAAGCCACTCAGTGGCACTGATTCGAAGAAAGAGTGGCATCCCGCTTGGGATAACAGCCCGAATGGCAGTGGCTATTTCAGAGACGATACGAACTCTGTTCTCCAAACTGCCGCCATATTTATCAGTTCGTCGGTTGGTGACAGGGCTCAAGAATTGATGAATTAGATATCCATGGGCTCCATGAATTTCAATAACGTCCACTCCGGCTTGGGCTGACAGCTCCGCACTTCGAGCAAATGCACAAACAACTTCCTCGACTTCAGCGGTGGTCAGTTCCCGAGGAGCCCAGAACTGATCACCAAGCGCCCAGATGTGTTCCTCCCCACCTGAGGGTCCCACCACATCGGTCGGCCAACCACCAACGGTCTCGTCGGCTTTGATGCCACGCTTTTTGGCTTGCGATGCGAGCCAGGGAGAAACTGTGCTGGCCTTTCGACCGGCGTGCGCCAACTGAATTCCGATTTTCGCACCTTGGGAGTGGGCGAAATTCACTACGCGGCGGAGTCCTTTGAACTGCTCCGATTCCGTTCCTTGCTGCCAGAGACCGCTGTCGTTGGGTGAGATGCGACCGTTGGGCTGAACGGCGGTAGCCTCGATGAATATCAGACCAACGCCTTTCGTAGCCAAATGACCGAGGTGTGCGATGTGATAGTCCGTCAGAGCACCCACCGCGGGGGAGGTTATGTCTGACTCCGCCGAGTACATGCACATAGGTGCCACGATCACGCGGTTCTTGAAAGTGACATCCCGAACCCGCAGAGGTCGAAACAGTGTAGGCGTATCAGCGGATTGCGGGTCAATGGCCGCTCCGCCATTGTTGGCAGGAGTAAAGTATGGGAGACCATCCGCCTGGTCGATAGCTGGAGAACGGAACAGACTCGACGGCATGGTTTCTGCGTTTGAGTTGGAGATCAACGGCAAACTTTCCTGGGGTTAAGTTTCAATGCAAAAGGTCGATATGGACAGAGTACGGCGATATACATTTCCATCCATGGATTAATAATTCATCCGCTGACAAATGCCACTTTTTCGGAAAGAAAGCCGATTGCCGAGTTTCGGCAGCTCTCTCCAAGGGGCTGAGCACCAAACGGAATATCATGTTGCATTTGCATGTTGCGTTCGCGTGTTGTGTTCAAGCCTGAGATGTTAGGTGTCACCAAACTCTCACTTACATGGCACCCCTAAACTTCAGGACCAGTCAGGACCAGGGGCACCCTTCCAGGGCCGAATTTTACCCCTGACCAGCTTTCAAATGCCCTGTTAATTATCTTTCAGGCGGCTCTGGGCAGCTCCCAATGTAAGTGGAGGATTTCGGATAGCCGTTTCATGGTTCCGTTGTTGGTAGCTGCCGAAAATGCCATGATCTGAGCTAAAAGACAGTGCCGATCCGATGCATCCACAAGTTGAGTGCCTAAAATGTAGAATGGCCAGCAGTAATATTCGGCGAAATAATCCAGAGCAGGCTGGAGAGCTCGTACTGAGCTCATGCCTTCTCTCAACAGTTCTACGATGACTCCGTCAGGTCTGCTTTGATCCATGTTCAGCATCCGCTGCAGTAGAATCCGACATCCTATGAAATAAAGACGCGGCCCGATCACGGCCGTGCGGTCTTTCTCGACCATCTGGTGCCATGATGCATGAGCCACATGGTTGCAATCGCCTCGGTCCATCAGGAGCCCATCAGGCGAGTATGGCAAAGCTGTCTTTGTCCAATGATCCCACCACGCTAACTCGGTCTCTAACTGGTCTCTGGTTGTCCAGTCAGGTTCGTCGGAAGAAAATCGTTGATAGAGGCGATACACCTTCGCGGTGTACCGAAAAAGTTGCGGGGAAACCCCCAGTACTGGTGACTCCGGGTAAGACAGTTGCGGTATGTGAAAATACTGGCCTAGGTGATTCTCTGACAATTCGAACGCGGATTCGATAGGGGAAGCGGACTCGCCGTTTCGTTGGAACGGCAAACTGGTTGCGACATGAAAGATAAATGACTCATGGACAAGTCGGTTCATCATGCGTTCTTTCTCCGGGGTACCTGATTTGTTTTGCCAGTTCTGAGAGGCAAGATGGATTAACTGGGCTGCACCCGTAAGATGAATCTCAGCACTTGCAGGTCCCCGGGACTTAGATCTCTATCGATTAATTGTTAGCCATTTCTGCTCTTAAAATCTCCCCAGGCCAAGCACTGACTTCGTATATGCAAAGCATCAAGACAGTATGCATGGTGACGAGCCATTTGTTGGTCATTTCCCGAGAAAGACTTTTCCGCAGGGCAACAACTGCTTTTGTGTAGTGATCTTGCGTCAATTTCTGGATAGATGTCGTTTGTGCAGGAAGTTCAGATCCAGCACATGCCAGCAATGCGTGCATACAGGCTGGCTCTTGTGCCGCCATAGCCAGTGAGTCTTCACTGAACAACTCAATCACGCGACAGGATGCGGCTGGACGGATCAGCTGAGGAAGAAATCTAGCTCTCAAGAAGTCAAACACAATGGCACTACTGCCAGTGAGCGCCGAAGGATAAACCATCCTGATCAAGCACTCTTGTTCGCGAGCCAGGGTCCCGCCGACCTCTGGAAGTATAGGTGGCAGCCAAGATGAGTTGATGGAGAGATTTGAACACGTAGATATCTCTTCTTGGAATGATTCAGTTGGCTGATCCGATTGCGGTGTCCCAAAATCATCATGGGTTACAAGCGAACCTTGTGGCTTCTCCGGCATTTTTTGCACCACTGGATGTGTAGCGGAGTCATATTTTGACTGTGGCCACACTTGTTGCCCCGGCCAAACGCATTCGACCTTCATCTTAGTGCAGTTGAGACATCTAATGTACGTTTCGTCGCATTTCTTCCTCCGCTTCCGACCTCCAAATCCATCAACATGGCAGCTCACGGAACACTCACTGCTCAGAAGGAGCCACCAGAAAGGACATGACCAGTCACTCGTGGCTCCGATCTCAGTGATGGGGGAATGTTACCTACAGGTCAAACAGCCACTTTTCGTCCTAAGCGAAGCTGGTGGGCGGCGAGCTTTCCGATATGAGTTGTGAGAAGTCATGGTGGATCGATTCTCAAGTGTCATCCGTTCGCGGCACTTGAGTATGTTGCGCTCAACACCTTGCAGTGGAGGTTCGGGCTCAGGCAGCTCTGGAGACACCTGAGCGTGTCACGTGCTACTCCCAATTAGGAAGGTCCACCCTGCCACCGTAGTGCGCCAAGACCATCTATGAATCATCTATAACTCCGGAGAGATCTATAGCTATTTCTCTTTTGGTTTCTATACAAACGCATGTTCTTATTTCGGCTGTGTCCAGGTGGCTGGAACCTTGCAAAACAGCATCTGGAAGTTCTCATGTCCACAATATATCGATGATACCAAATCATAATAGCAAAACATCTTGGGATATTCGAAGTTGACAATGATCACCGATTATAAGGTACTTAAGTAAAATTTTAAAAGTTCGAATATAATGATATTCCTTATAGAGGGGAACTACTAAAGGGGGTAGCGTCGCCATGTAGGTCTCATGTGTTCAGTGTCATCCCGAGGTCTCTCCTCTCTCTCTCTCTCTCTCTCCACCTTCATCTATCTCGTTGACCATCCCATTTTGCTATTCCTCGCCCACTTCTGAATTCCACTGAAGCCTGAATCTCTCAATACACATAAACCAATCAATCGACTCTGGTTCCTCTCTCTCTACACAGCCATTTCCAACATGATCACAATCTTTATCAACGGCCAAATCTTCTCTCCCACGTTGGGAAATCCTTTCGTTTCTGCCATGGTCATCAACGGCCACCGTATCACACACATGGGTTCCGGGGATGACGAGGAGGTCTTGCGAGCTCAGACAGAAGGACAGACGGTGAACTTGGCGAATCGCATTGTTCTCCCCGGTTTTATTGATGGCCATGTGCACATCCTCAACTTTGGTCTGTCACTACAAAAGCTTGATCTTTCGCGCTGCAAATCTCTTTCGGATATTCGCCAGACGATCACTGCATACGCGGATACACATCTGACCGAGCCCCGCATTCTATGCCGCGGGTGGAATCAATCAGCCACCCACAGCGAGGCTCTCGCCACAACCTTGGACGACTTGGACGCCCGGCCAATATACATCGAAGCCCTGGACCTTCATTCTACGTGGTGTAACAGTGCAGCGCTTGTTGAGTTGGAGATCCATTCCAGATCGGATCCTCCGGGCGGTAAGATACACCGACATCAAGATGGGACTCCATCGGGACTTTTGGACGAAGCGGCTCAGTTTGATATCGTTTGGCCTTTCCTAGATCGAGTCACATCGCTGGAAAAGAAGCTCACGGCCGTTGATGCCGCTATTGCTGCTCAAAAACGAGCCGGGTACACTGGACTGGTGGACATGGCGATGACTGAAAGATGCTGGGAAGTGCTGAATACCTATCGCAAGGAGCGTGGCGGATTTCCATTTCACATAGCGGCTCACTGGTTGATTCCGTACTCAAAAAACAGTACTGAAATCAACAAGCACATCGACCGGGCCATTGCGCTGCACCAGGATTCGAATCGCACCAGCACCCCCGACTTCTGCATCGCCGGAATCAAGTTGATCTGCGACGGAACAGTAGACGGATGCACAGCAGCATTTCACGAGTTCTACGGAGGTCTTTCAAATACAGTCGACCCTATATGGCCGGCCGATGCTCTCGCAGCTGCTATTCTGCGCGCATCCGAGGCTGGGCTCCAGTGTGCCATTCATGCAATCGGGGATCGGGCCGTCACACAAACTATTGATTGTTTATCTCTGGTTCCGAATCTCTCCGCCTGTCGCCATCGCATCGAACATCTTGAAATAACGACTCCGGGGGATGCGGAAAGACTGGGCCAGATGGGGATAGTTGCTTCGGTTCAGCCGGTTCATCTTGATCCAGCAACGTTTGGAGAATGGCCGAATATGCTGGGCCCTGAGAGATGCAAGCGAGCGTTTGCTTATCGAGAGTTTGTGGATGGAGGTGCACCCTTAGCTTTTGGAACTGATGCGCCCACCGCAGCTCATCACGCATTGCCTAATCTCTACATTGCCACGACACGTCGATCAGCGATAGATCCGTCTTTAGATGAGACCATCAACTTAGAACAAGCTGTTTCGTTTGCTACCGCCATTTCAGCGGCTACTATGGGGGCAGCCTACGCGTCTTTCGCGGATTCGTGGACAGGGAGCCTGCTTCCAGGATTTAATGCTGACTTTGTGGTCGCCGATATGCAATGCACTCCAGAGAAGCTATTGGATGCTCAGATATGCGAGACCTGGTATAAAGGAAAAAGGACCTTTGACATCAATTCAAATAGCTCTTGCTTCTAGGCCATGGAACTCGAACATCCCGACATGGTGTTGCTGAGCTGACAACTTCTTCTTTCCAAAAAGAATAACCCGTTGGTTCATTTCATATCGACAAGAAAACTGATTCCTTCCAAGGCTTGTTCCCGGGCTATCTTTCATTCCATCACACTTTCGTTTCTTCAATATGAACAGCTGTTGTTGCTGCTTTTTCTTGATTATCGCCCTTCCCAATTTCAATATTAGTTGCTTCAACGATGTCCTCTCCGTCGAACAGCCTTGTGATTTCTTCCAGGGGTAAATAGCGAGTCTCCGGGTAAAAGTACCATATCACAATCAGTTCCACGGCTAGAAAGCAGCAATAAAAGATGTAATAACGCCAATGGATGTTATCGAGTGCGATTGGGTTGACATATTGGTTGAAAAAGAGTGCAATGTACATGGCAAATTCCATAATGGTGTACCCTTTGGCGCGCATCGAATAAGGGAGGATCTCCGTTGTGTAGCTTGCGATTAGCCCAGACCTAGGATACTATGTCAGCAACACTTCATGCCGGCTAACTCTATCTAGGGACTCACTTCATGTTGTAAAATAGGTAGTATATAAATATCATTCCCAGCACCCCTGATCCAAGGGCAGAGCTTGAATGGGCATCATATTCCGCCGATAGCGCTGTCCATACCACAAAAGCCACCATCATTCCAGCCGAGCTAACAAGCATAATAGGCCTTCGCCCCCACTTGTCGACAAAAAAGCTGAAGAATAGATTGGTGGCGAGATTGAAGGATGTTAAAGCTCCATTTATCAACAGCTGCTGATTCGCATCCTTGATTCCAATACTGTCCATGATGAGGTTCAAGTAGTAGGACACTAAGCCATTACCTGACCATTGAGCAAAGAGGCCGAATGTGATGATAATGAGCAGGCGTTTTCGATTGCCGGGGGTCCGCAAAAAGTCCACGTAAGATCCCGAATGCTCTGAGGCCTTCTCCATAGCAATGGCAGTGGTAATTTCGGTGAATTCTAGTTGGACCACTTCATCATGCTCGTTTCCATCTGCATGGTAGTATGCGAGTGTCTTCAGGGCCCTTTGTGGTTGGCCCTTGGAGACATGATAACGTGGACTCTCCGGGATCCACCAGACCACAGCCAGCATAATGAGGGTAAACAGACCTTGAATCAAACTCGGCGCTCTCCATGACCAGTCATTCTGTGGGAAGATTCCTAGATGTTAGTTTCGTTCGGAGAGAGAAATAGAGGGATGGATAATCCTCTTCGAACGCACCTTTATTCGCAGGGTTCCATAGGTTGTCCATGCTGCAATGAATGCGCCAGAATGATAGGTGGCACCAGCTATGGTGACCAGGATTGCTCTGTCCTGAGCTGGGGCGATCTCGGTGATTAAAAGAGGTGCTGTACAGATGACCAGTATGTCCCCAAATCCCAATATGAATCGAGCACCAACAAACATGGAGAAATTGACTGAGCCAGACTGCAGACCAACGCCCAACAGCATGAAGAGAGAGCCTGTAACTAGGCAAATCCTCCTACCCCAATAGTCAAGCATATAGGAAAGAATCAATAGACCAGCCAACGCACCCACACTCATGACACAGTTGAACAAACCTAAGGTTGGGCCTCTGGGATGATCAAAATACTCCTGCCAGTATGATAACGTTTGAAGGCCGTTCCTTTTTCCACAGTATCATTAGAATCATTGCAATAACAATGTACTGATAACTTGGGGTAAAACTCACATCATTGAATTGTCAAATCCATTCGCAGTGTTGGTTAAGATCAATGTTAAGATGTAAAAGTAAAGAGTGCGCATCTTTGGGGATCTCCACCATTTCACCCGGGGAAATAGTCTTCCTGCCAAATAGAAATGGCCATTTGGGGGCTTGGATGTGCCCACCTGTTCGCTCATTTTGCTGTTTTCTCTATTCGACTGTAAGGTTAAGTTTTCGTAAGTTTGATACTTAACCTCACTGTCGCCCTAGGCAGATAGAGGCATGGGCCACCAATGTGATATTTATGTTTGCATATCCGAAGGCTCACATACTCCTTGCACTCAGTGATACATGGAATTCAGCCTAATCAAGCATCCAAATGCGGGGCATCTTTGTTGTACAGCCATTCTGGCGTGTCCCCGGAGCGCCCCCCGTCTCCCAGTCGGGAAACGCCCATCGAATCTTCGCGCCACATAAATTCGGGACCCAGCCCTTTCTTTCACCATTCGAATAGCACGAAAAACACCAACTCTGGCAAACACCAACTCTGGCTAAAATATACCTTACTCGAATCCAACAATTCCCGGGCTAACCATGGTGCGTATCCAGTAACGAAGATCTATAGATGCTCACTACTTAAGTAAGCCCTGCTTGTGAGCACAACCAGGATCTTTAAAAATATTTAATTAGTCAAGTACCTGTAGACGCGCGGGGTGTATCTCGGGAGGTCGCGAGTGAAATGAATGAAGTGGAAACCTTCGAAAGAAGCAAAATTGAATTGTTTAATATGCGTATATCTTTTTGTTTCCCGGCGCAATCAGGCCGTGCGAGGCAGGGTGTTCGGAGTCGGAGGTTGGCTAAGTGCTTAAGCGCTCGACAGAAACAACATCCATGGATTGGCACAGAAATTCAGAATGACCACGTCAGATGGTATCAGTTAATCATATGGTAAGACCTTTAGATTGTAGTAGTCCCCATTCTCCATGCTATCCAGCCATTCTTGGATATCTGGCCACATCATGTAGGACGCGCAGCCTTGTACGGCATATTCAAAGTCTGCTTTGCGCCGAAGTCTTTCATCCTCGTTGATCTTGACCCAATTTGGAGACAGTTTTGACATATGTTCCAGAAAAATGGGCCGGAGTTTGGTGAGTTCATATTCTAGGACATGTTCCTGATATATGTCGTTCTCATCAAGACTCCCATCCACCTTGGCGTAGTTGTTGGGATCTGGGTAATCCTCAAACTCGGAATCCGGCCCAGCAAGGAAAATAAGCCACTCTGCGGTTTTATAAACCGGAACGACGCTGACACATTCCCAATCCACCAGGGCAGTCAAATGTCCTTCTTGATTAACCAGAAGATTCTGAGAAGAGATATCGTCGTGATGCAACGTATATTCCTCCAAACTATCTTCTTGTGGTGGAAAAAAGGGATCCAAATGCTGCTGTAGTCGCTGGACAATGACCTGCAAGGTCTTTGCCTCCTCAACCTGTTCCTCGTCTTCAGCCGCTGCTAGCATTCGTTCGGCATCATTGGCATGCAACAACAATTGCGACGCCAGCCAATCTCGGCTGCAGGTAAATGGTCCCCGGGGAACTTCCATCTCGAAGTGGTACGACCAGAAAAAGGGAAAGGAGGAGATTCGGTCCACCACACATGGTTTATCCCCAGAAGGGTTGGATGAAGGCTCCGACCGGGCGTCCTCAGAAGATGCTGGCAGCTGGCAGGGTTGATACAGGTTTCCGATGGCGGAAAACCTTGTCTTGTTCAGGTCCACCAAATACTCAGCGACTGTCTTGACACTAGTGATTTTTGCATCCCATGATAATGTTCTCCAGGCCTCTTGAAGCGCCTGCCCGGGCATTCTCTCCATCAAGATCCACTCGGATTGGAAGCCATCGCGAGGCCGCGCATCAAAGGCGATGACTCTTGGAACGGGGATCGAAGTCTCCAAATGGACAAATTCGAGGGTGGCCACTTCACTCAACGTTTTGTATTGCGGATCCACCGGTGAGGAGACACGAACAATCAAGTTTGGCCCATAGTCAGACTCCACAATATACAGTTTGTTAAAGGCGCCCTCAGAATGGAAAGTCACTTTCACATCTCGCTCTTTGGTGAGGTTGGATTGGGCCAAGGCTTGGACTGCCTCCAGAGCTGGCTCCTTGGTCCAACGAGGGCTCTCTATGACAACTGTTTGCGCCCACTCAAGGCCATCACGGGGGTCTGCCAAATTCATGGGAAGTGGAGGAACTTTAGAAAGAAGACTTAGGGATTCCGAGGTAAAGAGACCGATTGGGAACAGGCAGGGAAAAAGGCCGATGCGAATACTTTCCAGCCTGCCCATTTCACATTGGGAATGAGGGGGGCTTTGATGCCATTGGTCAGAGTTGATGGCCCCCTAAGACGCCTAGGCCAATTCACCCGGAGCAGCTCAAATAGTCAAGTTGACAGTCTTTAAGTGGACAGGGACACAATACAACTGTCAGTTTCAAATCAACAAGAACGTCAAATCGAAGGGTTTGTCGCGCCTGCACAAAGATCGACAAGCAGGGAAAAGGGGCAGAAATGGAGAACGAGCGTCAACTACGGTTGCACTGCTTCTTCTCACCGAGGAAGAAGCTACAACAAAGACAGCCAATGAATTACGGAGTAGGTTCAAGGACAGCATTCTGGGATATTTCGAACTGGATGAATAGAATCATGTTGGTGGGTCAAAGTGTCCGTGCCAGGTGGGTTCTGAAGCTCAGGAAAAAAATACTTAAGTATAAGCTATGAAGATCTGTACTTACCCAAGTAAGTAGTAATATTGGTAAATACTTAAGTACTTCCCGGGTGAACACAAGAACGCTTAAGGTCCTTTTTAAAGTGCAAGGTTCGTATCTTTGGGGATCTCCACCGTTTTACTCGGAGAAATTGTCCTTCTGCTTAATGGAAAGGGCCGTTGGGGGCTTGGGCTCACAGGTTAACTCTTTTACATATTTTAGTTTTTGAATTCTGTCCTCGTAAGTAGAAGTGTGCCCAGGTGATCCTAGGTCTAACTTTAGAATGGTCGCACTAGGCAGGCTAAGCGTGGGCCACCTAGATGATATACTTAAGTATATGTTTGCATATCCAAGGGCTTAAATAATTGTTGCACTCAATAATATAGTGAACTCAGCCTAATCAGACATCCAAACCTGGGACTCCTTGGTTGTGAAGCCATTCTGTTGTGTCGCCGGAGTACCCCCCGTGTCCCAAGTGGGCAAAGCCCATCGAATCCTCGCGCCACATAAAATCAAGACCTCCGGCCCTTTCTTTGATCACTCCGAAAAGACACAATCTCTCAGATATGACTCACTCCAATCCAATCATTCCTGGGTTTTCTCCAGACCCTTCAATTTGCTTAATCGGAGATTCTTTCTTTCTGGTCACTTCCAGTTTCCATCTCTTTCCCGGGCTGCCCATCTATACATCCAAAGATCTGATCTCATGGACACATATCGGTTGGTCTATTCCAATTATATTTCATTCAATACTGACAAGCTGTAGGAAATGCCATCAACAGGCGCTCGCAGGTGTCTTTATCCCGCGCAACCACATTCCTCGACCCATGGGATGATGGGACAACTTTGGTGGCTACAGGAGGATTGTACGCGCCCACAATCCGACATCACGAGGGATTGACCTATATCATCTGTACAAACGTGATCCATGGGCCCTCTGATTTACCCGGCGATGAACGAAACGAGCAATTTATCATACACACGTCCGATATTCGCTCGGGCAAGTGGTCAGACCCAATCGTATTTGAAATGCCTGGAATAGATCCGTCTCTTTTATTCGACAATGGGCATGTCTTTGTTCAGCTGTGCAAGGTCGGCCCAGAATTTCAAATTTTCAACATGGAAATCGACATCGAGTCTGGCAAGATCGTCAAAGAGCCCACTCTGATCTGGAAAGGATGGAAAAGAGGGTTCACAGAGGGGCCTCATATTTACATGAAGGATGGCTGGTATTATCTGCTATGTGCTGAGGGCGGGACATTTCAAGACCACATGCTTAGCATTGCACGGTCTCGAGATATCTGGGGCCCCTACGAGCCCTATGAGCGAAACCCACTGTATACGGCTAGTGGAACCGACCAATACATCCAGCACACTGGCCACGGTGACTTTTTCCAAGATCAAAGTGGTAAATGGTGGGTGGTGCTATTGGGGGTTCGAAAGAAGGACGGCCGATCTATCATGGGGCGTGAAACCTTCTTAGCGGCCGTCGATTGGCCCAAAGACGAGTGGCCGACAATGCAACCCCCAAGTTGTGACCAGGATGCGAAAATAAATTCCATCTTGCTTGAGAATGAAGCATCGGTGGCGCCTTGGGTGCATTTGAGAGACGCCAGACTAGAGCGATGCCGCATTGAGGGCAACAGCATCACGTTGCAAGCCGACACAATTGACCTCACCAGTCCTGAACAATCGGTGGCATTTGTTGGACAGCGACAAAGAATGCTGCATGGTACTGCAACCGTGGAACTGTACAACCTGGCTAGTTCAGCGCCACTGAGAGCCGGCCTATGTCTATACAAGGATGAGCATCGATTTTTGGCGATTGAGTACGATTTCGGTCTGCAACAAGTGCACTTCAAGGCGCTAAATCGAGCAAAGTCAATCGAGCAAGATGAGACTCACAGTCTCCTGTTTCAAAAGCTCATCTCCTTTCGGATTGACTATACTGAAACGTCGCTGGAATTCTTATTCCAGGCCGATCAAGGTGATTGGCAATGCACATCAGAGTTTGATACTGCTAATCTGACCGATAATGATTTTACTGGTCCTATCATCGGGGTCTTTGCTATTGGGGATAATGCGATGGTGAAATTTGGGGGGTTTCAAGTTGATGCCATGTGACAGGGCTGGCATCGGGCTTGACAAACAGGGACTTGAGTGTCCATTCTAGATATTCTAAGACTCCAATCCATGTAACTCATCGGTTGTCCAGTCCGTCACAAGCATATGTCCAGGCTCATGGGAGAAGACAAGGCCTTCGATCGTATCCCCTGCTGCTTCAACGGCGATCTGAGGTGTCACGCCACACGCCTAGAGATCCAGTCAGACACGAGAACGTAGGAGAACCTTTCATGACTTACCCAAAACACGGGTACTTCGCCTTCTTGAAACAGCTGGGGCTCCCCAAAGTCCGGCTTGGTCACATCCATGATGCCCAGGTGTTTCGCGCCGTCCCATCCCCAGCCGACGGGCTCCCCATGGGTCAAACGATACCCCCGAGTGATGTCGCGTACTCTTGGGATGTCCTCTGGGCGATAGGGCCGCATGGAGACAATGCAATGGCCCCCTGTAAATACCCCCGCTGGTAATAAGGGGATGTTGGAGCGATACATGGCAACGATGGTCCCTGTTGACTGGTGACGTGGCGGCAAGCCTGCCGCCGTCAATGCATCCTCAAAGGAAAATGAACAGCCAATCAAAAACGCAACATGGTTATCTTCCCACACATCTAGCAGGTCCTGTCGGCTATCGATGAGTCTTCCGCCCGCATAAACTCGGTATCTAGGGAAATCAGTGCGAATGTCGAAATCCGATGATTGTATACACTTTGGGGGACGTATGGCTGCTGTATTCCCGGGGTCGGCACTTATTCCCAAGAGAGGACAGGGAACAGGGTTACGGAGACAAAGATCATGGAAGTCGGAGGCATATTTGGCTGGTAGCACGAGCAGATTCGCTTGGAGGTAGCCTGGGGCAATTCCAGCCGTGTTGGTTAACTGATTCTGACGACATAGCAGTCGTGCATGCTGTGGTATATCGCTTTTCATCATCAAACTGTGAAAGAATGGCACTGATATGATCTTCTCAGGCCATTACCTTATAGAATCCCAAGATATCCTCGGCTACACGTTTCGGGATCCACTTGCCGACGGGTCTGGGGTAAAACTTGGGGGAAAGTCTCCACGCCCCTGAACCCTCAGTTCCCGGGGACTGTTCACTGGCTGTTCCAAGTGTCTAGCCGAACCCTGAGAAGAGTGGCAAACGCCACTGGGAGAATATTTTCTGACGGTGTATGCGGTGATCACTTTCCGTCAACCATTTCCCGTGTTATCAGGGCTTCATCGGCCCGACGACTCCACTATTGAGAGGGGGAGATAAGCCGGGGAATATCATTCGCGTTAAAAGATATCAACATCGACACTGGTCCCTTGCCTCTAGACTTCATTGTCTACAGCACTGCATCGCTATGACCACCGCTACTGATGGAGCTCCCTTGGAGCTGAAAAACTCCCTCAAAGAAGACCCCGAGCGGCCAGATGAGATCGCCGGTGAGGCTATGGATGTGGTGCTGGATCCTAAGAAGGAACAGAAGCTCCTCGCCAAGTTGGACACTGCGTTCGTCCCAATCATCATGTTGACCTACCTGTCCTGCTTCCTTGACAGATCCAACATCGGTGAGCTAGGACATCTCCTTTATGGTGCCCGCGATACAACTGCTAACCCATGGACCAAGGTAACGTCAAAGTCGCACATATGCCGGAGGACATCAACGCTTCGGAGAGTCAGTTCTCGACCGCCGTGTCGATTTTCTACGTGACATATGTCCTCTTCGAGGCTCCCTGGGCAGTGTTGATGAAAAAGCTCACCCCTCGGAATATCCTGACATGTCTCTGCATTATCTGGTCATTGACCACTATCTTTACGGGCTTTATTGAATCGGTGGGCTCTCTCTACGCGACTCGACTGATCCTAGGAGCTTGTGAAGCGGGTCTATTCCCCTGTCTCAATCTTTACTTGACTATGGTGTACCGCCGTGAAGAACAAGCAAAGCGCGTCTCCTACTTGATGAGCTGTGCGGCAATCTCTGGGGCTGTTGGGGGCCTTCTGGCTTACGGGCTATTGCATATGGACGGAATTGGGGGCAAGGCTGGATGGAGGTAGGTACCAGTTCCTGGAGCCTAGAAGAATTATCACTCTGACACGCACAAGATGGGTATACATCATCGAGGGTTTGTTCAGCGCCCTATGCGCCCTCCTCATTTGGTTTGGTCTGCCCAACAATCCCGCCGAAGCCTACTTTCTCAACGAAGAAGAGAGGTGGATGATGAGGGTGCGCAATGAACAGCGTCGCAAATATATGGGCAGTGACAAGTTCAGCTGGGAGGAGATGCGCATTGCACTCAGCGATCCCAAGTTATTCTTCAGCGGTGTGATCCAATTCTGTCAGGACATTCTTCTCTACGGGTTCAGCACATTCCTTCCCACCATTCTGGGGGGTATGGGCTATGACTCGCTGATGAGCAATGTCTTGACAGTGCCCGTCTATATCTGGGCTGCATTGATCTTCATTGCAATTGCGTTTTGTTCTGATCGCTACTCCAAGTTTGCATCGGTATGTAGCGCGCGCCGATCGATCACTCTTCTGTCCACGCTAACAGTTGGTAGTACATCTTTGCGGCAAATATCTTTGGAATCATCGGATATATCCTCCTCCTCACGGTGAAAAACACCGCGGTGCTCTATTTCGCCACATTCCTTATAGGTATCACCACCTATACCTCTGTCGGGCTCAATGTGGCCTGGCTGAATGTGAATATCGCCCCTCAATATCGCCGCGCTCTCGAGATCGGATTACAGCAGACGATGGGAAATTGTGCTGGTATTGTTGCAGGGCAAGTCTATCGCACTTCTCCCTATGTTCTTGGCAATGCTTTCTCGCTTGGGTCCCTTGTGGTGGCCCAAATCACGGTCGCTGGGTTCGGATTCTACCTGCGTCGAGAGAATAGAGTCAAAGAACAGATTGCCAGCGGCGAGATAGAAGATACTCGGCGTATCCGCACTGGTGATGCCGAGGTGGAGTTCAAATACATCTACTAGTTTTCTATACACCCGCAAATGCCGATCTGCTGAATCAAATTTGGCTGCGCAGAGCTTTTCTGCGTTCGCTTCTTGCTACAACCCCCCCCCCCCCCCCCCCCCCCCCCCCCCCCCCCCCCCCCCCCCACACAACCTACCATTCCCAATATATTACACTAACTTCAACATTAGCAATCCTCTGAAGA